TGTGATCTCAACTTTGGCTTCAACAAAATCTCATCTATTTCCTCGGAGCTCTGCATGCTTCATAAGTTGACACATTTGGATATCAGGTTTGTGACGTGTGTTGGACTTCCTTTCCCAGTGACTTGTTTTCGTGCCTTTTTAAACCAGCCATCTGTTGCAGTGGAATAGCAGTACTGAAATAATTTTTCATTTCCCAAAACAGTTCCGTAGCAGCTGAATGACCGGCAGATCCAAAATAGCAAGTGGCCTAGATTCAGGCACTGGTTAAAGCACAAAACAAGTGGGCAAGCTCCAAGATTTGCTGTGATGGAAGGGCTTGCCTCAGTCATTCAATGGTTCTCAGAGGTGTTAAGAGCGTGTTTAGAAACAAAACAACAAGGAAAAAAATAATCCTGGGGGATATCTGGGAAGTAGGACAGTGACTGTACCAACTCTGGTGTGCTGCCTGAACCTGCAGCTGTCAACTGGGATCTTATTGCAATACAGCAAGATACTTACTGTCATTCTTCCTTGCATAACTTCTGAAATATGCTCAATGCATGTGTTTAGACCTCAGGGTTAGCTTGCTAGCATTTATTATCTTGGCTGTTTCACAAAATGAAGAGCAGCAAAGCAGAGTGCAGAGACACATTTGTACTTCAGCTTGGTTTAAAGTAATCTGCCTGAGGTATGTGCTGCTGGTGGAGGAGTTCTGCTGAAGACTGCAGAAATGGATGATAATGAGAGACTGATGAGGGGACAAGGTTGAATATCTGATTAAGAATTTAGGCCTAAGTCTGGGCATCTTTTAGTGAGTGGCCTTTATTTTCCTGTAATGAGACTTTGTGTCATGTTCAAGAAATACCTTGTTGGTCCTTACGAAGCTCTGTCTTCATTTTATTTAAGAATGGCTTCCTGTTGTGGGAAACTGTGCAGTAACAGTAGCCATAAACGAGTTTGTTAGAGCAACTGGATAGCAGGCTAAATGAATTTTGAAGAGGTTTAGAGTTATCTTAGCGATTCATGTTGGCACCAACATCTGGGCTGTTTCATGAGATTTCCTCTGAAACCCAAGTAGCAGAATGCCTGTTTCAGAACTGTTAGATGCTTTGAAATGCCTGGGAATCTTTTAGAGAACAGGCTTTTATGTTTTCTTATTGGCAAAAAATGAAAATGCAAACCTGGTTTGCACTCTTGAGCATGGTCTTGATCCATTTATAAAGCAATATAGTGGTTTAAAAGAGCACGTTAACACTGGTAAATATGCGTATTCCGTCTGTGGATTCTTAATTTAAACATCTTAGAAGTTAGTGATTATTCTTTGTCTTCATTTGATACACAGAAATAATTTTTTGACATCTTTGCCTGAAGAAATGGAGGCACTGACAACACTACAAGTAATAAATCTTTCTTTTAATAGGTGAGCAACTGTTTTTTTGTTTGTTTCTCTTTTTGTTTGTTTGTTTTTGTAACAAAAAAAATCAATATAATTTTAATGTGTTGTAAGATTGAGTAGGGACTTCATCAACTAACTGTGAGCTTAAAACAGTTAAAGAGAACGTATTTCTTTACACAACAGGTAATATATTTTTGGAACATCCTGCCACAAGTTTTTGGAGAGAGACGGTAGAAACCAGTTAAAAAAGGGATTAAACAATCTCGTGAATGATAAATCAAAAAATGGCTTCCAGCGGGACTACCCTGCAGCGTCCCTAACACAGCAGTTCTGGATGATGGAAAAATACAAGGGGAGTGGGCCACGGGAAGCAGCTGGGAGGTGGCTGTAACTAGTAACTAGCCACCGTGTTGGGCTGGAAGCATCTTCTTCTGGCTCAGCAGGGTGGTTGTTAAGTACACAGGAAAACGACTGCCCATTGCTCTCCCCTCCTTACACTGGAGAGTCCCCTTCTGTGTGACACGAACTGTGATTCCCAGCTGGCCTGTAGTTCTGTCTGTTCTGTGTAGTTCTGTTACAGGTGCTGAGCTGTCACTGTGCAAATTCTGTCCAGCTTTTTCACCGTGTGCAAGATAATAAAATAATCAATGCTTTCTCCTTCCAGAGCAGCACGTTTAAACATTGAATTTCAGTAAACAACACTAAAATGCCATCTCACTTAAAAGGCTGTTAATTTTTGAATGCCTTGTTTCTGACTTTCATTTGTTTTCCTCCTTTTTACTGAAGGTTTAAAGTATTTCCTGGTGTCCTTTACCGCATCCTAGCACTGGAGACCATCCTGCTCAGTAACAATCAGGTTGGGTCCATTGACCCTCTGCAGTTAAAGAAGATGGAGAAGCTTGGAACACTGGACCTTCAGAACAACGACCTTCTCCAGGTGCCACCAGAACTTGGAAACTGTGAAAATCTGAGGTGTGTACTTTAAGTGATGATATGTTTTATAAAAAGTATATTCTGACTGGTTTCTTCAAGGCATGTTTTGTCAGAGGGTAAAGGGTTTAAAAAAATCAGTCTTATTTATTAACAAGAAGGTGATGCATGATAGTATGTAGTATCTTGAGGTAGTCATGCATTTGGAGAATATATCCAACTCCTGATACTGATTGCTGAGTTCTCAGCAGCTTTGACCACTCACCTATCTGAGTGTCTTTATCAGCAGTGTGTGTTATTGTGTGTTATTGTGTTCCGGCTATGGATGAAAAAATTGAAAAAAATAAGAAAAATGCCAGGATGCCTAAAAGAAGTATGAAAAAAAAAAAAGGAAGGTTGTGTTTGTTTGTGAAATGCCATGTTAGAGCCTCAGTCAGTTTCCTTGTCTGTATGTGTGTACTGCTGGTGTGCCTGCGGACGAGCCTGTTGGCCAGGTGGGTGAGCCATAGCACTGCCTGTCAGTAACTCCAGTTGGCTCCTGAACTGTGTAAATAAATCCAATTGCTAGAAAAGAGATGGAATAACATTCTGTAAATAATAATGCTCATATAGGAACAAGGCTGTCAATATCTTCAGTTACATACCTCAAAACCAGTTGTGGATACGTAGTCTGTCTTGTCAAAGATAGCAGATTATCGTTAGTATGGTTTTCTCCTTTAAAGGACACTTCTCGAGGGACTTAAAAAATACAAAATAAAGCAACCCCTCTGAACACAAACAAGCAAAAAAAACCTCCACAGACATTTATGTTTAGTAAAGAGTGAGCTAGCAGCCAAGCTAGAAAATGGAGGGTTGCGATTTAACCCAGCTTTTCTGTTTAATTTTGCAATGTACATACTTCAGGAGCTCTTTTTCTCACTCTATTTTGACAGGTTGCTTTAGAAGTGGGGTATGTGTGTATTGTGCATCTACAGTAATATACCACCACTGATTTATTAGCATAAATTAAAATTCAGATGTCTCTAAAGAAGATAGGTTAGTATGAAGTAGGGTAGCAGAAGTTAACATTTTTTGGAAGAACAAAAGAGGAATTACATAAGAATTTCAAGATTCATGAATCTATCTGCAGTGTAGTGTGTGGTACAAGGAAAAGCCTTCATAAAATAACTCGGCATCTCTGTCTTTGCAGGACGCTTCTTTTGGAAGGCAATCCCTTCCGTACTCCCCGAGCAGCCATTTTGGCAAAAGGGACAGCTGCAGTGCTAGAGTACCTGAGAAGCCGAATTCCTACCTGATAGTTCATTTCCCTCCCAGACTTGTGAATCGAAGTACGAACACAATACTTCTCCTGCCTGACCAAATGCTCTGCAATTATATTGCCTTCTTCCTTCTTTGTAAACTTTTTGTTAATCTGGCCCGTGCCATAAAGCATTTGTAATTCTGTTCATGGTTTGCATGTTAAGAAAGAATTCACTCGTGAAATATTTCCCCCTCAAGGCTGCATGTCTCAGGAGTGCATTTTAAAATACCACAACCTATGTTTACACTTTTTTTAATAAAGAATACAGTTGAAAGCTGCATTTAGTAAGAGAGACAATGTTTTTCTACAACTAAGCTATTTTTTTTTTTTTAAAGAACTGTAAACACCAAAGTACTTGAAAAAAGGTGTAAGTAAACTTCTTGATTTTTGTATGCCTGTTTTATAATCTTCTGTAAGGTGCTTGGTCTCTCTTCACTGCTGCCTCAAACAATTAGTTACTGGTCTGTACGTGGTGAAATGCTTGAACCCTTAAACTGTATGGTTCTAAGAACAGAGTGTGAAATGTACTGCAGACTGCCTGCATGCCTCACATAAAAGTAAGCAAAATGTGGTTGCTATTGGTAGCTACTCTGAAACAATAAATGTTTGCTCTTGGATGTGTGTTTTCTTTCTACGTTTTTAAGAACGTGCTTTAAATTTTGTAGCCAGTAGCATATAGACATTTAATTTTTTTATTTAAACACACTTCAACGTCATGAAAGTGATCTCTTTATTTGTAACAATAACGCATCATGGTTATTAATAATATAAAGGGAGGGCTGCTGGATGTTACTTGCTCTGTGACTGTAGATCCACTGCTTCTCTGTTAGACTGCCACAGGCCTGTGAATTGACATGAAATTGAAGAGAGATCTATTACATGGATTTCCACTGGTAGGGGTTTTGTTTGTTTTTTAAACTACGCTAAGTATTTCCATGATGGCATTTGGATGATTGAACTGCTGCTGCTCTTAGCCCTGTGACCCTCTCTTTTGTTTCCCTGCCCTGTGTAAGGCATTTGTACCACAGAGAGCAGCAAATCCTGAGCTTTTCTTCCCAAGTGTGCAGATGCTGCACTGCCATATTTGATGTCTCACCAGTAGCGATGTGCTGAACCAGTGGAGTTGCTCAGTTTTCAAGTCTCTCTCTGACATACCTGTAATTATCTGTAATTAAAATGTCTCTTTCCTGAAACATTGCTTTGTTTGCTGGTAGATAGAGCAAACATTTCTGAAGCTGTAACTTAGATCACTGATGATTCAGGTGTAGCTGCTAGCTCCCTGGACCAGTTTTAAGCAGATGGGTCGGTAACAACCGCCTCACCTTCCATCCCTTGTAGAACTGCGACTTTGGAAAACTCGGATCCTTTCCAATAGTAAAAAATGACAAAAAATAATTACAATAAGGTGACATTTTTATTATTTATACAATAAAGAGACTTTTTAATGTTATTCAAAACACTTTTTTAAATACTGAAAAAGTTGGGTACACCAAAGCCGAAAAATGGCTCTGCTATACACTGCACAGCATTGTTTTAGTCCCTGTATTTGTTTTATGTACAGAAGCATCTGCAAAATGCATTCTAAACACAATATGCACCTTACGGATAAGTGTCATACATGAAATAAAACTGGAAGGATACAACCTGCATGTGCAAATTAACCGACAATATAATTGATTGCACTGAATCAATAGATTTAAAATATAATTTTGAAGTACCTTTTTGCACATAAAATGAAGCAGCTTTCAAGTTCAGTTAAGTCTTTATACTGCAAAAAACATTAAGTACATTCACAATCTATGTTAATAAAGTAGTAAATATTTTTCATTCAGCTTTATTTACATTAATACTGTAATTAAACTGAAAAGTACAGTTAGTCATTTGTAATATAGCAATCTTTTAACACATACAAAAATGACCATTTTCTGTATATAATTTAAGCTCAAAATCACAATTATCTCAAAATATTAATTACAATACAGCCATCTCCATCATAATTAAACATGTCTTTTATAAAATGGTAAAATTTTTAATAAAGTAAGCTGTTGGTTTTGAACTGGATACAGTACTCACAAGTAGAAAACTTAACTGATAAGTGTTTGTTCTGACCAGGGTTTCAGGGCAAAGCCACATATGCTAGCAAAGAGACAAAGAAGGCCCCAATTTACAAAGATGAAGCCTCTTGTGCTGCAGGGCTGTGGCTCGGTTGGTGGTGCTGCAGGAAAAGCCTCACGAGGGCCGTGTAAATTCAGCATACAACGCAAAGATGTCGTTCACTGCTGGAGTATTTGCTTGGATTCTCAAGCAAAGAGGATTGGCAAAGGCTTTTTTTGTTTGTTTGTTTGAACAAAACTATTTTAAGTTTATGACTATTAAATACTGTAATTTGAAATTTGCTTTTGCAACGAAAATTCACGTTGGCCGCCCCAGGCTCACGCCGCTGGGGAGGAGCGCGGGTTTCCTTGCCTGGCCTCTGGTGTCACTGCTGTGCTGCACGCGTGGCTAACGCCAGCCATCAAACGTACCCGAACCAAAGTTGTTCGAAACAAAACCAAACCACCAATTAGTTCATATCCTATCCAAACTACTGGCCTGAAAGTTGTATCATCACTTTGTATTCCACTCATACTAGCAAGACTGACAAGTGAAATAAGTCCTTAAACCTGACTGGCTGAAAATAAAATGGGAAGTCTTTGTGCCCTTGTGAAAATGAGAATTTTGAAGGCAGAAGAACTGGGAGAAGAGCGCTGAGGCGGGATGGTGAGGGTGGCAATAGCCCCTGGGTAAGGAGCTCAAGCTTTAGACAGCATTTTATTCTGAACTGGAAATCCCAAAGGTAAATTCTGCAAAGGTAGGTAGCAGATCTGCAGCCCACAGCTGAGGTTTGTAATCTCCTGTGCTTGTTTACAAATTTGGGCAAATTGATCCTTGTGTTTTCTTTCAGTCCTATGTGTCCTGCCTGGCTGTTAGGGGTTAGACCACAGTGAAACAGATCCCCGGGTGCTTGTGAGCTTCACTTTCATCTGAGAGGCTGGGCAGCACAAACCCCAACCTCGTCCTGCTGCCAGTCATTTCCCCAGGAGCCAGCAGCCAGCCTGGTCTCAATCCCCGTGTCTGAGAGCAGATCCTGCATGTGGGCAGGTTGGAGCGCGTGGTTTGTCATTTCCTCCTGTCTTTGCATTTCCTGTTGCATATACCCCTGTCAGATATATACATATGTACACAGAGCTATGGATGCGCGGGCTTTTCTTTGCATAAGGAAATTCAATGCTATATTACAAGCCAGAGAGGTTTAACCAAGGAGAGTCTTTACATTTTAAGTGCTCACTAACAATAGCAAACCAATCTCAGAAACACTTTGTACTGCATTTTTAGTTGAACTTTTGGGCCATGAAGATTAATGGTGTTCTCCAACATCACGGATTTGACTCTTTTGATATTAATCTATAACTAAACGTATGGCTATTAGAGCAATGTTTCCCGGGTCTTTCAACTGCTCAGAAAAAGGCCACCCCACAACAGCGCCGTGTCTGATGGAGGTCCACAGAACGTAGGCGCAGACAGGGACACGTTAAAATACAGCTTGGAAAACACCAACACTGATTTGAAGATAGCTATTACGAACGACTAGCCTTTAAATATCACAGCTCACCAACACCCTGAAAAAAACTGCAAACTGTGAATGGAAAAGGAATGAATTATCCGGACTGAAGGGTCTGCACAGGGCTTCCTGGGGTTTTCTCTTAAAATGTTGCTCAAAATAAGAAAAGCATTTGGGGAGCAACTTTTTTTTTTTTTCTTTTTTTTTTCCCCCCCTTCATTTTTTTCTTAACAGCAGCCCACGGGGCACTGCCATGGGGGACGGGGCACTGCTGGCAGCGTGAGCCCAGACTGCGACCACCGAGCTCCCCAGAACCTGCTGCAAAAGGAGGCTGAGGGAATTACAGCGCAGGCGTCCCTTTCCAATCTAGCCCTTCCCTGAGGATGATTTGTTGTTTATTGCATGGGAAATCCAGAAAAGCAGAGCTGCGTGCTCACCGCGAGCGGGGCCATTGCCATGGGAACATCACAGCTGAAAGCTACTGGGGGCAGCCCTGCCGGGGAGAGCTGCCAGCAGCACGCCAGACCTTCAGTGGTGTTTCTAACCCAGCGTGTTTCAGTCAGTATTAGCATGGCCATGAGTAGCTTCAGAAAAACAGAGCGTGTGAGTGCCGGTGTAGCTACTGTGGGAGAACATATGGGGTGCTTGGGAGTGCTGCACAGCCCGAAGGAAGGAAACCATCTGCAGTTCCCAGCCTGCTTGCCTCCATCAAAATCCCTTCACACACATGAAACTTAACCCACACACGGAACTCGCCTCTGGGTAAACTGTCACCTACCACCAGCACTTGCCATATAACCACATTTAGTTTAAAAAATATATATAAACAGTATATATATATCACATATATCGTACCTATGTGCACGGCATGCACATAGCCGGGTTCCCCACCTGCACACCGGGCTGTACACGACCATGCACGTGAGGCTGCTGGGGACTCCAGGACAGACAAAAAGTGCACGTTATTTCGAAGGATTAATGTACAAATCCTAATCGGGCTCACTGAATCAGTTTAGTCGCTCATAGCATTAGTCCTATCTAAACATCATTTCTACAAATTTGAATAAAAATAATGCCAAAAAGGAAATATTTGGTGATTTTGGACAATGGGGGTTGGTGTTAAAGGTTCACTGCTGTTATGTTTCATCTGGGAGGCCAAATTCACCGCCATCCCCCTTCTAGAGTCAGCAGGAGTTTTGGATAAGTTAATTTGGCATTCCATTGCACTAATTCAATTTTATTGCAATTTCGTTTTCATTATAATCCATTAATGAAAGCACTCAGCAATCTTGAACTCCAGTTCTGCACACAGCCCTGGCCGATTGTGCCACTGCGCCTCAGCTCTCCGAAACTCAGCACGCAGAAACCCAGCTGAGCACAAAACGCAGAATTAACAAACACTGAAGACTGCTTCTGCCTTTCTCGCTTTCCCATTTTTCATCTGCATGTTATCTTGGGATTAGGTGTCAGGATGGGCCCCCTGTCACCCTTCTGAGACCCGCAGCTCCCCAGCATGTTCCTGGAGCTGCAGATCTCTGCCTTGGAGCTGTGTGCGGGGACGCACTGGGTGGGTGTGCACCGAGTCCTGCACCATGGCAGCAGGCAGCGGTACAGCAGGATTCAAAGCTGCGGCAGTAATTTACTCCGTTTTCCTGCTGGAAGGAGAAGTCATGGGGAAAATTTCTGCGCTAGGGAGCTGTGCTATCATGGACTGCCCCCGGGCATGGAGCAGCAGATGTGCAGACGTTCACTGCACCTCCGTGTGCACGCGTGCTCATGTTCTTAAGTGATATTTTTTGCATGAAAAGACAAAAGTAGCTCCAAAGAGGAGCTGGGTGCATAAGTACCTATTAATGTCCCTAGTTCCCATTCAGTATAATTAACGACAAACGATGTAGGTGTCTGCAATTTTCTGAGCATATGATGAGAAAATCCTTACTTCTCTAAAGGGCAATGGGCTTAAGTACGGCAATGTTGGCCTCTGACATGCCATGCATGTTAGGAAAGTTTTAGATGCGTTCTGCCACAGCCTCTGTGGTTTGAGGGGGCATTATGAGACTAAAAAACTGGAAGCTGAAAAAATGGGGTAAATAACAATCCAAACCCAAATCACATGAATTCAGCAAGCAGCTTCGGCTGGTAGCATCGAGGTTTTAATTTACTGAAAAGAATTCATTATTTAAATTTATTTTCTAGACATAATCAAATCATGTATTCAAATAGCACATTTTAGGATTAGCATTACTATGGCTCACTGGGGTACCTGCTGGTGTGCTGCCACTCAGGTGGTGCAGAAGCTCTTGCAGTGTGAACGCTTGCATGTGGTAAGTAAAAACTCGTATTGTGTGGGAACCTGCTCAGTCAGCTTGGAATTTATGGCTCATTAATGTTTATATTAATAAACCTAATCACTCCTATTGATTAAAGAGAAAGGGGGAGGTGTCAACGACCATAGGACAGGGAACTTACACTGCTAAACAAATTCCTGTGGGGAGCTGAGGTGAGGGCTGTGGGCTGTGTTTCTCCTGCACAGTGCCGGGGGCTGCCCTGACCATGCTTTGCAATCGACTGCCACAGAGGTAAAAAAAAAAGGAAAAAGAGTGCAAACACAATAAAAATCCTGCTGCTTCATAACGTTAGAGGATAGTTCCTATGCCTACCGATTATGTATGGGGTACTTCTCTCTCCTTTCCCATGTGCAGTAGGCGGTTTTTATACCACCCTTTCCTTCCCAAATGTAACAAGTCTTTTTTTCTTTTTTTTTGAAGGCCCAGTTGCTTCCAGAGAGAGGCAAAGAATGACTGCACCAGCTTTGGGAAGCCCAAATTCATTTGGAAACCTTGCTTTGACAGTTATGGCCAGGCTGGGGGGAAGGAGGGGCTGATTATGCATTTTCCTTTGTGGCTGATGGATGGGATGAGGCCCCAGGTCCCCTCGCTGTGTCGGCAGTTTCTAAGAGCAGCCAGATGTGAATGCACAGAGATGATAACTGCGTAGAGCAAGGATTTGGGGTCCTGGCCTGGCTGTCCCTCTCTCTACCCAGTTCCTCTCCCAACACCCACAGCCAAAGTGATTGCTGTGCATGTAATAACCTCAGCAGACTGCTCTTCCTGAACTCGTTGGGTTTTAGGGACTTGATGTAAGCCCCCAGCACACCCAGCAGCACGCGCAGCAGTGCTGAGCACTGGGGTGTCTCAGTAACAGCAGGGACACATCAGGAATGCTGCCAGCACCTTTGATAGCTCCAGTCCTTCCACTTACTATAAATAAGACCTGCAAAATTTATAAAATGCATTTATACCTCTACAGCAGGACGACTGGGTCCATACAGCAGGCAGGGCAGTAGACGTAAGGGCTCTGTTGTCTCTGGAAGTCATGTTAATTTAATTCGAAGTGTAATTACCTCATTGTGCGCTTGCTTACGGGACAAGAAGAAAGGTTTGAGAATTTCTAGAGGCTCTTGTAAGCAGCAAAGTGACACGGCCTTTGCCATGCCCGTGAGCTGTAGCACCGTGCCCCTGACCAGGGCCCGGCTGCAGCCCCCTGCCCGCGCTGCGGCTCTCCCTGCAGCCCACCACCACCACCGCTGCCAGGCCGATGGCAACAGCACCCCTCGGAAACACCTCGTGGGAGGTTTCCTTCTGTTTCGCCTTCTTGCTGTCAGTTACGCCCATGATGTAGGCCTGAATTACTGAACCAGCAGCAGGTTTGCAGAGTTCTGTGCTGCCGGTACGCTCTGCCGAGAACAGCGCGAGGATTTTTACCTTAAGGGTTTCACACTGAGTGCTTCAGTGGGAAAGCTCTTCCCATGCTCTCTCAGCGCCGTTCTTCTGCTCCCCCTGTGATATGTCATATCTCAGATTAAATCTATCCCCACTCGTTTTAAAGAGACTGTTACACAAACAAAGGGTTGTATAAAGGTTAAAGCCTTACTGATAATGAACATATCGAGAAGGGGATAACAGCCTGCACCAGAGCAAGAATACAGAACACCAAAGACTGGGGGAATGGGCAATGCAAGGAAGGGGCCTACAGTTTTAAATCCAAAAGTTAAAATAATAAAATTAGCAGCAACAAAAGAAGTTTTACTGCCACCCATCATAAACGTCTTCCATTTATGGAGCGTATCTGTCTAACCTCACTGTTCGTCCATTTAGTGTGTTCACATGGAATCGACTGAAAGTGCCAAAGAAAAGGAAGTTAACCAATCTCCATGTAGGTTATTTATATCTAGGTCCCAGAGTTGACAGTATCATTTATTAAGTATCTCACCCTGTATAGTGACATTTTTACTAATTAGTATGGAGCCAGCTATACACACTGCATATGTACAGGTATTTTCATAAGGCATATAATATCTTTGCATTGAAAATAAATGAACATTATTAAATTTAATTTAATATATACTTTCTTTGAGGTGTTTATGAAAATATTTTTTCTCTATATTTTTGTATGTGACATGATAGAAATATTTCATGGGAAGTACAGGTTAATATATTTTATCTTTATAAAGGCATATACAACTTTGAGGCAGTGTTTCTGATGGACAGCAGAATTCCTAAAGAATTTGTATGTGCTTCTGTGTTTTGAAATCATATGAAATTGACTTTAAGAAGTAACTTGATTAAAAAAACGCACCAATGCACAGCCAGAGGCTGACAATTAAAACTAATACATAGCCACATGAACAATATATTTATATAGTTAATATATTTTTTTCAAGATGATCGGTACTAACATAGAGTATTATACATTTGGCACTACTGTTTGCCATTGGTCCAGCAATTGGCAAAAATTTGTTTCCTATGTATAAATCTGTTTGAACATTAGATCTGGCTAGACATATTTACTATTTATAAAAAAATATTTAGACAGTAAGCTCACGTTGAATAACTAGGTCTACTGTATTCTGGAAACTCTTCAGTAGTAATACAGCTTTCTCATGTTCCATATGTACAAAACTGTGTCCATTTGCCTGCAACACAAACACAAGAAGATAAAATCAAATGAGAGCCTATTTAATATCTTCATTTTGTGGGTGCAAAGGGATATATGGAAATGAAAAACAAGCCTAAAATAAACAACAGTCATATGGTGTTTTCCTGAAAGCAGGAGTTTGAATGGTACTTTTGAACGGGAATTGGTGCAGCTTCCAGCAGGAGAGGGACCAGGTGACCTCAGGGGCTCCCTTCCAGCCTGAGTTTCTCTCTGACTCTACAGTATTCAGCATATTTTCCTAAGAATCCAGAACTCTGGGATGTAAGGGTTTGCTACACCCTGGAGCCCAAAGGAGCCAGCAGCAGCACAGCCTTGGTCTCAGACACTGCATGTACAGGAGTGAAAAATTACTGAACAAACTGCTCTGCTTTGGTGCTAATTAAATCTTTCTGTAATTGGCTGTTAAAATGCTATTTCAAATCGTCAAACTTCAACCTAATTATCAACAGCTTACTGCATGTGATCGATAAGTAGAACCTCCACAAACAGAGCAATGATGCCAGTGAGTGTTAACACATTTCAGATCACAGAACCCTGGGAACTGGATACTGTTAGCTAAAGGCACTGCTTGTATTGGAGAAGTCAAATATCCTTCATCCTTTCACACCTATGTTTTTTCCCCTGTTAATTCTTTCACAAGATTAATGGCTTTCCTTTATTTGCCACAATATAAATCAATACCTGGTAATAGGTATTATGGTTGCATAAAGGAATTGCAAGTAAAAGGAAAATGTTCCTGCTGGAGAATTTAAAATGACGTGCTGACAGTGACAAATGAGAAACTGCTGAGACTGATCTGTGGTCCTACAAGAATGACCGAGAGCACCAAGTCAAACGAACGCCATCAGATAAGTGATGAAAAGAGTTAGGAGAGGGAAATCTGCTACCTGAAAAAATGCAGCAGTAGCTTATACATGATTATGTCAGTACAGGAAAATGCTCTTATGTTAGGAACAGAAGCTGAAAACCCACCTGGATGTAAGGAGCAATGTTTTCCCTGTGAGGGTGGTTGAATGCTAAAGCAGGGGCCTGCTAGGTGCCCCATGCTAATGACAGCAGGAAAAAATCTTTGGCATAACAAAAGCCATAAAAGAAACAGCTCAAAAGAGGTGACAGAACTGCTCCCACACAGCCCTCACAGAACCCGTCAAGAATGTCCCCACTGCCTATAGTTCATTTAGCATATCAATTTCTTTTTTTCACTGCTTTTGAACATACTAACAATTAATTGTAGATGTTACAGAGATGTCAGATGTTCTGCAGTGCCCAGACAGGAAGGGCTGGGGCAGCGAAGGGGAGAGGGAAGCAGGAGGGGAGAAGAAGGAAGGCTCCCAAAGATGCCTGACCATGTCCTTGGTGTGCTGATTTTCTTCATAAAGTGATGATAACACAGTTAACCTCTAACCCTTGATCGGGCCAAATGGCTTTAAAAACTGTTATAAACCTTTCAGACAACTCCAATGACTCTTCATTTTGTCAAAAGTAATACTATTTGCTGCCAGTGGTAATACATTTTCCGGGCTTAAAAGCAAACAAACGACCTTGCAGGACGTGGCAGAAAACATTTTTCTGTGTCAATAACCACCATTTTCTGCAAATGAGGAATTTTGGAAAGGTATTTGAGGTAACAGCCTGCCTTTATTCTAAAACCTGAGACCTCTATTTAAAAAAGTAGATTTGAATACAGAAAATATTTGCTTCAGAAATGTAACAGAAAACAAAAGGCTGAGGTTTCTCTGTAAGTTGTGCAGAACCCAGCAGAAGGGCTGCTTTTCATGCAGGCACATTCAAAAATGAGGAAGCAAAGGAGAGGCAAAAACAATGCCAACCACAAATCCCTCCCAGGGTGTGACTACTTTACTCCTTACACCGGTATCACATCAGCTGCAAAGGTGAAAACTGGAAACACGCCTTACTTTGTCATATCCTGCTGCTAGAGAAACTGCTTGTAAAGCTCCTTCCTCCCTGCGGCATCTCGCACTATTAATGTTGAAAAGCTGGGTATGATGTAAGGAACATTTGTATTTTCAAGTTTAAATTGTGTTACCTGGATTTTTCCTGTGACAGGCTGTGATCATTAGCCCTTTTCTGCAGTGCCATGTCCTCTCAGAAAGCTGGTGCTGGCATGAACGTGCTTTATCCAGCATCCCTGGGGAGGGAGCAGAATCTGCCAAGCAAAACAAAGGCCAGCCTGGCTCCTGGCTGTGTGATGCTCCCTCTGTTCCTAATGTGCTCTCTGTGTTTAATTCAGCTCCCAGCTAGTGGTTAGGGGTTTGTCAGCCAGCACACCCCAGTGCCTCTTTCCCACATACTCATTTGGTTTTCAAACAGCTTTGTTCCTTCCGAGACCAGCTTTCAAGAGTACTGACAACAATACAACACTCTATTATAAATCAAGTGCCATAATACCAAAACCTGTAGTTGTACTGAAAATAGTGTTACTGTAAGATGCAAAGATTGGTTTTATGTCTCAGTTCAATTACAAAGCAGTGAAGTCCAGCCATACCTGGAGGATCTTGTCGCCAGGCTGGAGCAGGCTGGATGCTGGTCCGTCAGGCTGAACCCTAGTAACAAAGATACCCTATAAGTCAGAAGTAACAGAGGTTAGGATGCTATCACCAAGAACTAGTTCCCAAAATACAGGTGTCTCCCTAACTGCTGCTCTGGGGGATCTGTATACTCTGACAATGCTCTAAACTCCTTTTTTAATTTGTAGGTAACCAAACAATGGCACTGACTTGCATCAGCTCTCTGTGACCTTCAGCCAGTTACCGCCAAATACAAACATAATTGTGGGTCATTGGAAATTGAGATTCTGCTTCACAAAATAATGTGCAATTGGAATAGTTTTTGGGCATAGACAAGAGGAAAAGGATTATCAGGAGGTTAATTAAAATGGAGCAATGGTCTGTAGCAACTTCTCTTAATCCATTGTCTGAGGAAGAAATGACTTTGAAAAGGGATAAATCATGAAATAATGAAGAATATTTTAGATTTGGATTTCGAATTTCTGTAAAATATGTTAATAAACCCCCAAACCAAAGACTTGAGTTCCTGGATGATGAACACATTAGAAATGTTACCCATACAGCTCGTGCAGTCCTGCACATCTGCACCCATGGGCTCACCCTCTCTGCTGTCCTCACCCTACTGCTGACGGCGAGCTCCTATAAGCAGCCTGGAGAGCTGGGCACAGGCCACATTTTAGCCACTTACATTGCTCACATAGACACCAGGGGAATTCCCTGCTCGTTATCATCATGCAAATCATGAGTTTGAGGGATTTTATAGCCTTCCAGAGCAAGGTACTGCCCAGGATTTCTATTCACCTCACAGAAAGCTGAGCTCCTGCAGAGCAGAGGGATGGAATTTTATCATGCTTACATTTCATCCACACACCATTAATGTGTGACTTAAGTCTGCCATTCAAAATGCCTGCTTCTGTGCTTTTTACTGCTTTTCCTGTCCTTCCCTCTTTTCCCAGCACCGTCAGCACGTCATGGCAGGGGCACATCACCGCGCAGAGGAGGGCTTGCTGCCATCCCTGCAGACTTCATCTTGCAGACAGAGCAGTGCCATGTGCATGACTTAAAACCATCACGAATGACTGGCATGTATGATGAGAGACAAGGTCACCCTCCTACTGCTTCTATGACATTCCAAACATGGTAAATCTGATTTAACGGTATGGGAAGCAAGGGTTCAGTGTAATAACATAAAACTTTAACTGTTAATTCTTTCAATATAACCACCTCGTCAGTACCTTACACATAATTTTGCATTTCTATTACTAGTAAAATTAAGTCTATCTACAGCTATTACTGCACGGAATGTGTTACCCATGTAGGCACATTCATAGTAGGACAGAGATTCCTCTTAATAATTCCAGGCAAATGATAGACAACAGAAGTATAGCTTAATTCTAACATCATACATCAAACTGAAAAAGGGACACGATGTTATAAAGTGTAATACCAGTCTGCAGTCTCAAAAAAGAACACCAAAAATGAGCACGTTTTAAGGGCTAATTGTTAAAATGCCTGATGGCATGTACATTAAGGTGAACTATACTTTAGGTTCAAAACAGGGATTATTGATGATAAAACTGAAAAAAAAAGTAAGATTGTGTTAGACTGGTATTTTAAAGAGCATTTTACATTTCCTATTAGAATCTCTTGTAGTTTGAGAGTGGTGGGTAAATTATTTTTTTTAATTTGCATGCAGATCTCAAATTTGTGATACAAGATGAAGATTCATTATTATTTTCATCATTTGCCAAACATTCTCAGTGTTTTTGTAAATTATGACTGCCTCCTGAAACTGAATCCAATATTATCAAACAATATCTACTATAATAATACATTTAACTTAGAGGTACCCACAGTCTTCATTTTCCAACAAACTCCTGTCAGTTTTATTGCACAGGACAGATGAACTCACAGGTCTAAGAAAGAGTTTTCTAATCCTAAAGCACTGTATAGCTGATAATCACCAGATGTTGTATTTTTATTAGTCATCCTTCCACTGACTAAAGAGATTTATCATCCTCTTAAATGTGTAATTCCCAGAATGAGTACTGAATGTCCCTGGCCATCATGTACCATAATGGTAATTTTTTTAATTAACATTAAAAACTAGGAGATTGCTTGTCACGGTGTTTGTAAGCCGTCACTGCTTATCTCCAGACCAGTTTGTGGGCCAGGCCTATTTTATTTGACACCCCTCCTATAGACCCTGGTATTTCAGTTACCCAGTGAAGACAGTGCTGTTTTAGCATTCCCTCTAATGACTCCAGTGACAATTTAATCAGGGCCTATACCGAGTCTTGAAAGAAAAAAAGTGAAAGAGATGGTACTCCAGAAAACAGCCTGAAAAATTATCTTACACATGGGCTGTAAGCCCAACACCCATGTGACTTCTGGTTTGATTCTCTTGTCTTCATTAAACACAAAAGAAAGAAAGCAAACACTGCTGCCTGAACAGAAAAATGCCAGGCACGGGAAAACTTCTTTCATTTATCACAACAGAAGTGCATAGAAATGTCATTCATGGTATCTATGTCTCCTCTATACGGCACTCTAAAATAAAGCCTATTTAGTGAGCAATTTATTACTTACCTTATCAGAAGGTTTGAATGGATTGCCTTGTCCACTTATTCCACCACTGATACTAAAACCAAGGCCAGGATTCTTCTCTATTCTCACACAAAACTAGGTTAAAAAGATACGGCAAGATAAGTCAATGCCAACACTAAAGGCTATCTAAACAATGGCATCTTCTTCTCATACAGTCCCGTTTACCATTCCTGAGCTGAGCTGACCCTCTCAAAAGCTGTTTAGCACAACACAGTAAAAGCCAGCAGAATGCTGTTACAAAATGAAAGTATTCGAAGTGTTTTAACATGATGCAGTGGTACTATAATATTCTATATATACTAGATATTCTCTATATACTCTCTATATGCTTTCTATTTTTGCATATATAAAAAAATTATTTTCAAGGAGAGAAAAAAGGGACTCTTGAAAAGACAGTTTACGTTGGCCAAATTTTCCACTCTCACTTGAACTTTGGGTAAATGTATGCCAGTGAGAAGGGAATCTGCCCGTACATAGACTTCTTGTGCACTTGTGTTGTTCCAGAAGGTGTCGCACAGGCAGCACCCCTGGGTGCTATGCAGGTGACAAACGCAAGCAGTAAGTAACCTGAAGGTATTCAAATCATTGCCAGTTTTAGGGCCAGGGCCCCAGTAGCTCTGAGCACCAATGGGTTTTGCAAGTGCCTTACTACAAAAAAAAATGCTGAATCTTATCTTTTAGTCAGGGTGAATTTAAATGGCATTGGCTAACTTAATATAAAATGAAAATGACTTCAGTGCAGCTTAATGACTACTCATTGAGCCAGTCTGAACACGTACCACAAGCCACGCAAGCAATTGTTTCCAAATCTCAGTGGTATACTCAGAGACTTAACACAGGCTGCTCCTGACATGGATTGCCCAATGTTTTACCCAAGGGAAAGGTTTACTAATGATTTGGAGCCTTACTCTTAAAGTCAGGTGCCTTATACAGCTGTTGAAACTATTAAGGCCAAATGTAACAGGGATAGGACCCAGCTTTTGTCAGTGTTAGCTTATGCTCACACTTTCCTACCTGCTCCTGGTAGGCGTCCGTACTTCTCTGCCCCTTGGTCTGGATGAGACACCGCCCCGTCTGAGGTGCTCGGGAGCTCTGCGAGGAGGGGATCTGGATAGGCAGTGGTGGCTGGAACTGTTGGATGGTCACCTTGTTCATGTTTCCTTCGTACTGCTGCTCGCGGCTCCGGTGCTGCAGGCTTTGCGATCCCATTAAGGTCTGGATGTGGCTACCTGCCTGTGGGTAACGCAACCCGTTAGGCCCGAAAGTCAGGAAGCTGCAAAGAAGCAATTATTACAACTTACAGAGTCGGGTCAAAGCAAACCTCTTAAATCACATCAGAGGTTTGTCTTTTGACCACGACTGGAAGCAACTGTGATTAAAAGCAGCGAGGATATGTACAGTGCGTTTGGCAGCCCTGGGAGAATAAAGGGAAATTAGCCAGATAGAGTTTGTTTTATGAACAGGAAATAGTTGTTTCCTCATGTCATAATACATGATTCTGCTCCAAATATTTCTTGAACTGAAAAAATACAATAAAAGGAAACAGAGTGCACGCTACAGACATTGGAATGTTTTGTTTGCTTTCTGAAGCTGGTTTGGAATAGGATTTATGCCACAAATACAGATATTGTCCATTGCAGTGTGCTGCGTACAGAAAGCATGATTAATTGAATTAGTCTTGTCCTAGGAACAAATATGGTCCTTACAAAATTTAATTAATAAAATTACCAATTTCTATGATAATTCTACCAAACTGAAACTCTAATATTTTGCAAATGTAAGTGAAATATTGAATTCACATTGTCTTGACATGTTGATATTTTCATTTAAAAAAGGGCGATTACTGCCATCCCTCTTTCCCCTCTGCCCCACTGCCTTCCACGTTTTCAGCAGTGATCTAGCAGGTGCGGTTTGCATTTTGTGTTCTATTCCTGACATAGTGAAGTCGCCTACTTGCTTAATCTTCAATACACGTTCTCTATTTAGGCACATGAATTACAGAAACATTTGAGACAAATCTTTGCAAATGAAAATAGGGCAAGACAATTTTAGACCTTTGCCATATACAAGATTGAGATGTTGCTTTTAAATAATTGCACACAACTTAGCTGTAAGGGAATGAGCAAAATTCCTGCTCCCCTGTATGACCAAATATTACTGCCTCCATGAATTATCACTCCATCGCATTGTTTTCAGATTAAGGCACTCATCAACCAGCGGTTTTATTTGAAGAGCCTGAACGTGAACGAGCATTATGACTGCACATCTCAGTACCTACAAGTGGCTTTGGATGAATGGAGCTACTTAAACAGTGCTTCACATTGAGTTAACACCAGCCAAGGGCACAACCACATCTCCTCATCAAAGTCTAATCCTCATTACCATGGAACCTTTACGATCCTGGTGGAAGAATCACCAGTGGTGAGGCTGTACTTTAGACACAATTAAAGTTAATACAGCAAAAGATCAAAACAAGTCTTACCCACTGGACATTCACCTGGCCTTGCAAGTTATGGCAGCCAGGGCCATAGAATCGATTGCATGTTGTCATAGCAAAAATACATCTGAATGGCTTTTCAAGGTGAAAATACATCATTAATACAGGTGCAGTTGGAGCTACTTGAGTCACTGAACACAGAATGCCAGAAAGACACACACACAGTTCCTGCGGTGACTGCAGGCAAAACTGATCTGCTCTGACGTGCTTTTTTGCTGACTATATTCTGCCAAAGGAACTAGCCAGAACAACTAGACCACTTTTCTGGCAGGTCTGTATCTTAGTACATGAGGGGGATAGTCTCAAAGTGAGTAACGGCAGAGGAAGCTGTTACATCTTGTACCCAAATCTTCAGTGCCCAAACTCCTCTGTGCTAACAGACATTGACCAACTTCTGGAAAAGCCTGGAGAAGTCAGCCTGTGCTGTGAATAGCCCACTTCACAGGTCAGAAAGATCTACTATTCTTCCAAGATCAGAAGGGAAGGAAAATGCCCAGGACAGACTTTTTTTGCTGCTCATTAACCCCCCAGCAGCACCAGGCCATGCCTGCTGTAGGTCACCGAGTCTGTGTCACCCTGAGCTGTGCAGACCCACGCCGAGCAGCTGCCCGCATGCAGCAGGGCTCTGTGCTTCATCTTGTGCCAGGCTGCCATCAAAACAGGATCCAAAAAGCAGAATCTCATAAATTTCACTGTTCGACTCAGATATAATCCCAGCGTATCCACCACAGCATACACAGCAGGTACATTCTGCCTCAGAGGAAGACATCTATTTCAAATACAAATAAAACTGTGCTTTTTCACTGAAAATCCTCCAATCTTCTTTACCAGCTTAAAAGACCCGTAGGTTGAACAACATCTGCTGGAAATGAAACAGAAAGATGCCCCAGCTTCTCAGTTCTGGCTAACAGATACACTCCCAAGTCTGAAAGGGTGAGCAATGGTGACCTGGCCACTTCTGTGCTCCAGTTCCATAGCACACGCTTCTTCCACAGCCACCGAGCCTGTTGGAGCCCACGCAGGGACCTCCAGGAGTTTGTGTGGCCTCAGCCTCTGTGTGATCTGCTGCCATCCCGCAGTACCTGCAGAAGAGCCCAACTCCCATGGTCCAAACACCCATCCCAGACCTGCATAGCTCGTTGTCTTCCATGACCATCAGCATGCACCCAGGTCAGGCTGAACTGATGGCCATTCATTTTCCATCTTCATTCTCTCACTTCGACTACTCTTTTTCATAAGGAGTGACTTCCAGGTTCCCTTTTGGTGGTTCCCCCTGCCACACTTCTATCCCTTCCCTTTCTTCGGAGAAGCACACAACTCAGAATGCAGCTGACTTCTGCCTCATTGACTTGGCAGAAAAATTGGGTCTTCCAGGAAGTATAAATACTGTAGTCTTTTAATAAGTCAGTGGGTTATTCAATTTAAAGATTAAAATATCCAACTTCTCCATAGGAGAGACATCTCATAAATTATGGGCTGATTACATAAACGATCATAGTTAAATTAAAATAAAACTGGCATTTAATCTCTTGTCTGAACAGCAAAGAGGACAGAAACAAGCACTCACATAATATATAATGTAGTGACTACTGCGTAGTATTCCCAGCCTACCTAACATACATGAGCAGTATATGCATACCACATTAGCCTAGGTACACAGCCTATCCATCTATTGTACATGCTCTTTCCCTTGGAATAACAAGTCCCAATTTTTCTTCCAGTGATTTCCCAAGTACAGCTCTACCATGGGCTGACCCTGCTCTGCACAAGGCCATTCACACTGGTACTACTGTGTTACTGGAAAACCACAACATATACTACTATTTATATTTACATCATTTAATTGTTCCTTATGTTGAACTTTATTTCTATAGATTTTCCAAGTCTGACTTCAAATAATTGCAGTGTATTAATCCCCAGACGCTGGTAAACCCTGGACACTCCAGGTGACTTTATTGAAAAAGACATTAGCATCGTTGTACCAACACACTGCAAACCACCTCCTGAGGATGGTGGGTAAACAATTTTCAGAATTCATTTTCTCATTCCTGTTAATAGACTTTGTTTGAAGAGATCATATTGTGATTTGGTGTGTATTCATACTGTGGCTCTTGCTGGAGGTGGATAAGCTGAAAACAAATCCTTTTCTTAGAAATGGCAATTATTTATTCTGCAGAAAGAAACTTTACTATGCAGACTGTTCCCCCTGATTTCATTTGTATTCTGTACTTTATTTAACATCCACCACAAAAGTTAATTATTTTCAGCTCAGTGTCCAATATTTACAGTATAATTAAAGTAGCTGACAGCGGATGTAACAATGGATTGCTCCACTGAGTTAAGCAGATTTCAGGACAGTTATGCAATGTTTGTACTTACCACATCTGAGCAGCAAGACTCTGAAATATTCAGAATGAAACACAATCTGCAGTTTCTTATTATAGTACCACTGATGATGCACAAATGAAAGACATGGACTTGTATTAGATTGTGTGAATGGATACGTGCAGGCTTTATCCCAATATGTTCATGAAGATAAGGAGTAACTCCTCTTAAATATCTTATCTGGGTTTCTTGCATACCAGAGGATAAAGAAACCCTTTGAACATCTTGGCTGTCAGACAATTCCAGTGAACAATGCCAAGGCACCGTCCTCTACTCTTTACCCTCCTGCACCTCAGGGTGGAGCCTCTGGGCTGCTCTAGGTACAACAGCTCACAGCTCCCATCTTTAAGCAACCCTCCTGCATGCGTGCAAACTATCTCATCACTACTTTTTTTTTTTGTAAAGGCAAGGGCTAGTGCTGCTGAAACTGTCTTGGATAAATAGATGTGAAGGCAGTAGGGAAATATTTGCTTCATCAGTGCTGACAGTTAATTACACTGCAGAAATGATCAATGTGCACATTATGACTCATAAGACTTCACTTGTCAATGAGCAGGACCCATCTCCATCCAGTTAACAATCAGTGGAATTATCATTGCTTCCACGTGCAGCTCCACCTTCTAAAGCTGATGGCAAACAGTTCACTTTGTCAAGATCCTTTATTCTGCAGCTTTATGATGATAATGTCTAAAAAAGGCAGTTTCTCAGCCAATGAACAGAGCCAAGTCGAGCTGGGAGACAGCAGCCAGTGTTTTCCCAGGAACTGGCCAGATCCCAACACTGTGCCATTTACTGCCACGAGGTACTAGGAATTAGACACCTTTCTAGTTTATCAGCAAATGGTGTGTGCTCAGGATGTCTCTGCTAAAACGTCTGTAACAATCTGGACAGTGAGCTGCTCCCCATCTCAGCACTTTTTTTTTTCCTTTTTTTTTTTTTTTTTTTTTTTTTCCCATGAACTCAGTAATTTAATTCAAACAAAGAATTTAAATGGCATATTTGGAGGACAATAGGGGGCTGATGGCTGCCTGCTACATGCAGGAATACTCCTGCTGAACCACTGTGCCCGCTTCACGCACTAGAGACGTACTGCTACCATCTGCATAAATAAACACAAAAAAGCAGGTAGCAGGAATGAAAACGTCCTTAATTCATAGCAATTGTTCCTTCAAACTTTGAGACAAAACCAAGCGTCCCCCAAACCTGTCCCCGTTGCCCCGTGCTCCTCCTTCCATGGATTCCCCAGGAAGGGAAGGGAACCGCAGCCGTGCAGCCGCTCTGCTCGTGCCACCTACCTTCTTGGTGACGGTGTCGGGGGGCACGTCCCGCCGCCCCAGCGGGTAGGGGTTCCACTGGCCACTCACAGGCACCTCGTCCTGCCCGTTGTCCAGGATGCTGCTCTGCTGCGATGGGGTCTGTTGCAGAAACGGTAGGGCAGCCTTTAGTCACTGGCAAAAATTCTCTCCCCATGCTTATTTCAGTCATCAACCCCGTTAAACTGCCGCACGCTATTGCTAAATGGAAAGCCTCCAGTTCCTAGGGCATTTCATTAACACGTAATCACAGTGCAGGGGGACTCTGCAAGTTAGAGATCTCGAGAGATATACAGTGGAAATAATGAGCATGATGAATGATGAGAGAAAAGAGAAAAATAATTTAACGTAGTTCCTTATTTCAGGAAAGTAAATTTTGGTGAAGCCACGTATTTAAATTGCAGTCTGCCATTAATTTTTTGAATGAAAAGTTTCTAACAGGTCATTCAAGTATCAATAACATTTTACCGAGTACTTGCCACGAAGATTAAATTATATGCTCGTATTTTCTTAAAAACATATTCCCCATAGCGGCAATATTGGACCTGTGAGTACCGTGCCCCAGGCAGAGGGAGCTCTGTGTAACTCCGCCTGTTGTACACTGCTCACAGACCTCTCTAGGATGTGCTGGCTTTGTTTTAGGTTAGCAGGACATCACATGCATGACAACCAGTAATTAAACTCTTCCTGAATATGAATGGACATAACACACATGGAAAGTTTCCTAAATGATCTCAATACTTTTTTCTTTTCCACTTTTCTCTCCTTCAGTCATGGTTCTCATCACTTTTTCACTCCTTACTCTGCTCCTGTTTTCAATACTTTTCAGGGCGTGTATACCTTTGCTGTCCCATCCAGCTTTTCTCTTATCTGTCTCTATTTCTTCACAATAGCTGGAAGTTTTCCTAACATGGGTATGACTTTTTGTGTCAGACCTTCCAAAATACCAACATTACATTACCACTGACAGCATATTACATTATACATTATTACATTAATATTATTATCTACATTATTATTCATATTACAAAAAAATCACCCTTGATTTTAATCATTATTTAAAAAGGCAAGAAATCTGACATCATAATTCTCTCATCATTCAAGAAGTCCTCCAGAAAAAAATCAGGAAAGATGTGATTTTCCTCGTATTAAAATGCTGCAAACATTTCCCCTGCTGAAAGCACAAGACCTCCCCTTAGAGCTCTCTTTGCACATACTAAAAAGGGAAAAATGAGACCAACCTCAGCACTTTTTCCACTGGTGACCCCTCACAGCTCAGCAGACCCTGTCCTAGTGCCTGACACTGCAGTGCTGCCGCTCTCTGGCAGCACAAATCTCCTTTCATGTTGGCTAATGTGGGCCCAGAGCTCGGCAACATAGGGACAAATGCATTTGAAAGAAGGGATGCCTGAGCAGGGGCCAGGGAGGGACTTGGTGCCTACATAAAGCCCTGGATCAGCCTCTCTGCCCTGTTTGCTGCTCGCCCCTATGTCCTCATCCAAAGGGGACACATCAGCTGAGAAGTGTCAGGCAGCAAAGTTCTAAAACGAAGAGGTACCATTGCAAAAATCCGTGCTCTGAGGAGTAATGAAAAACAAAGGGAAAGAAAGGAAAAAGAAAGGACATCATCTGTGTGCCATGAGTCAGCCTTCCAGACCCACCACACAGCGAGATGCCCAAGGCTGGGCTGGAAATGTGGTCACCTCCCTGCGAGAAGAATTGATGAAGAATTGATGCCCGCAGCCACACAGCCACCGGGGGATTGTGCGGAGGCAGCTTCCTACTGGCACTTGTGGTTTTTCTCCTAAGTGATGTATGGGAATACGCTGATTATTCCTGAAGGGAGGGGGTGCCGTACACTTCTGAGACTGAAATGCACCAAACCGCAAACTTTTAAAAGAATTGTGACACAGATGCCAACAATTCAAAGCAATCTTCTGAGAAGTGGTTCTTTTGTTACTGCAGACAATGCTGCGTCTTTTTGATAAGCGACTGACTAATCTGCAGAGGTGAGTTAACACTCAAAAAGGAAAAAATATAGAGGATGCTTTCTGAAGAAAAAGGAAAATTCTGTGATAAGTTTTCATTTTCATTTTCTGCAGTAAAACAAATTCATTTACTTGCAATATCATTCATTTACAGAGCTTGGATGGACTGCAAACCAGTAAAAACTACGTGCTTTTTATGTCTAGGTAAATAAAGAAAAGCAGCAGTTTAACATTTTATACATGCAATAGACTCAATGTAATAAACTTTCCCAGTTTAGGCAATTCATATACTTGATTTCCTGATCTTCCACTGGACAACTAGACCCCACTCATTACTCTCCTGAATCGAGGCCACAAGAAAGAGGAGGAAGAGGTAAATTTGAAACTGCTGTGGCCTGGATTCATTGAGAAATGCAAAATGTTTTAGAACATGTGAAGGAATAAAACTGATCAACAATGAACATTCAGAGTTCAGCAATAGTTTTACCCCACTTCCCAAACAGTACAGTAAGAGAATACACCCCCTTCATGCATTTCGGCACCATATTTTGTATGGATATGTAGCAATGAAATGCCGGTGAAATATAAAGCAGAATAATTCACATAAGGCCACACCAAAACATGTCCAGTTTCATGAAGTTTCATGCCCTAACCATTTTCATGAAGTTCCTCATATATCCACATTAATTTATACTTTAAAATTGTCAAGTATGTAAGATCTTATTCTTAAATGTATGTACAAAAATACTCCCACCATTTGGAGCTATTGTCAAATTAACACTTTTCAAGGACTTGTGACAAGAATTCCTATACACCCAAATAGACAAACAAATTCTTTGAAAGAAAAAAACAACATGACCAACACTGGGAAGCTGTCTACATCCAAACAAACACACAGCTACAGCTAAGATTTGACCTAGATGTCATTAACTGAACAACAACGGAGAAGCACACACTAACACTTGGACTTCAGTCCAGGGACAGCTGAATGGGAGCTGCAAATGAAAATAACAGAGTATGGAAAGTTACATCAGGAGAAACCCAACAGTGATCTATGTGGAGTGTGTGTGAACATTGTTAAACTATCACAATTTTGTTGAAAATAAATCCAGTGCGCTGTGTATACCTGCATTAGCTCAGAAATACTGCTGCCTGCCCTCCGGCCAGCAAGCGCAATCTGGTCATGCTGCTGCCCCTAAATTCTCTTGCTCTTGTACGCAGGGTTAGATCTCAACTCTTACACTGGGCACTGAAACCTCCTTTGGGAACTCACCCTGGCCAGGCAATGCCTGGCACAGCACCAGCTGGCTCAGGCCAAACGTGCCCGCGGCCAGCCCGGCAATTAGCAGCACAGATGATGGCATTTCAGTGCCTGGATCCATGCTCTGTGACCATTTAATTACTTACAGAGATGCAGCTAATTTGTACCAACAGCTACCGCTGCTAATGCAGTACGGCACAGAGCGGTGCTCGCTGTGCTGCTTCTAGCACTGCCGTGGTGCCACTGGCCTTATGCACTGTCCCCACAGCACACGCATGGCACCTGGCTGATGCTGCCACTCCAGCATGGCCACACACAACAGGGAGTACGGGCTCAGCATCTCCTCCCTGATATGCAGATACTTCAGCAGTGTCCCTCTCTGGCCTGCTGTGTGTGCTTTTCCTACCAAACATTTGCTTGTGTATAATCGTGTATATATGTGCTAATCAACAATAAATCATCCATTGCTCACAAATTGAAAAAAAATGTTGAAGAAAAATATTTCTATGGGCAGTCCTCCAAACAAAAGTTTAACATTAGTTTAAGTGTGCTAGGCACCTACTCGTAATGTATCAGCTATTACAGCATACTCAGTTAATGTTCAAATGTTAAAATGTCCATCTCCTGGAGACTATTTAACTGCATGTCAAACATCTCTACATCAATTTTTCTTTTTCCTTTTTTTTTTTTTTTTTAAGATAAAACAGTAAAAAAAACAAAACGTTCTTCATTTCTATGCACAGATTAAGTCATTTACAAAATATAATGATTGCATCAATCTAACACAAGAGCAGAAAGCAGTAATGACAGCCATGTGAGCTACTTAATCCAAAAAGCAAGATTCTTAAAAGATTCCAGGAAAACTGTGTTACTATCATCTTTGCTTTTTGGATTGTGTATAGTATAAGCATGAACTATAGGCAAAAGCTAAACCAGGAAAAAGCAAGGAGTATTATTAATTTATTTCGAAATGCTGGTATATGCTGGCTATCCCATACTTACTTTCGGTAGAGGTAGCTCTTGAAGCATTTGGTTTTCAAATTTAGATTTAGTCTGCAAGTTTAAAGTCATGCTTCTGCCGGCATGCATTGCTGAAAACCCTCCAGAGTGCAGCATGCCAAGGCTAACTGTGTTGTGTTTGTAAGCAGCGGTCTGAGTAGAGGAAACAACCACGTGACAGGATATGAACACACATGCTCCTTGAATCAAGTATCACACATATATGGTTAATTTCACAAAGTTTTAGTTTAAGCAAACAAACAGTACCAAGAAATAAATAGCTTTTTGATGCATGCACTGAGTCACACGGAAGCAAATACATTGCTAGTTATACATAAAATGGATACCATAAAAGACTTCAACGCTGACAGCAGATGAAATATGTTGTTATCTGTATTCTGAAAACTGCAGCATATAACATGGTACAAGTCTTTATTTTGCAAATATGGCCAAATTTTGGTATGCCTGCACAACCACAGAAGGGCCAGAAAACATATCTAGTAAAGGAGTACCAATGTCAGAGAACAAACCCTCTGCACCAGGACCCTACATCCCTGTGAACATTCTGTGGGAGCTCCCAGGTCCTCTGGGGCAAGCCCCCAGGCGTGGCGTGGCACAGCAGCGCGAGGCTTTTGCAAGGCAGAGCCTGGGCATTCATTCCCTGGGTAGCCCCCACACCAGTTAACCCAACTTTGTGGAGTTTTGCTGGTCTGTGCCGCAAACAGCTGGAGGCCGGCTCTCTGCCTCTGCAGAGATCACTGGGAACTTGATTTAACCACCAGTGTCAGCTTCCCACGAATTAAAATATTTCTTAGGCATATACACATTGCAAACTACGTGTAAAGATGTTTCCAAAACATCTGGGAAGTGTTTCCACCAGAAACCTCTCTACTTGGTCTGCTCTATTTTGGTTAGATATTACGCATATTCCCACCAGTTCCACATAACTCAAGGAAACTAGCTGAAGTAAGGAAAAAGCTTCAGCCTTCAAGCCAATTTGTAAAGTTTACCCATTTGATCCTTAATGTTATTTTAGTATGCATCACGTCGAGCAATTGGGAAGTATTATAAATATATTCACACCAAATGCATGAATATCTAGCATAAAATACGTATACGGACACAGTTTGCAACTAACTTACGCATTAGACCACGGTAACTTTTCACAATCACTTCAGATTATGAAGTAAATCCAGATTCATGAAGTAGGCCATTAAATAGTCAAAATCATTATAGAAATCATGCACTGTAGTACTTGTATTATGTTTTGTATTTATGTTTTGAGGTTAAATAAGCATAACTTTCTATTGCTAAAAGGAGTAATAATCATATTCCTTGTTAAAAACAGTGGCAATATATATCCAGTAATATTTCTCAGTGTTGAGAGCTTTAGATCCCCTCCACTAACAATAATACGAAAGCTAAAACACTTTTTTTAAAAAACCTTTTTATCTGCGATTTTTTCATTTATTTTGTTTTTTTCTGCAAAGATGTATCCAGCATCTTCTAATGCTCTCAAATCATTTCTGAAGTGGTGGACTTCAGCAGCATGTTCACATCTGCTGATAAGGAGAGATTTTTATGTTTTTATTATTATTATTATTATTTTTTACTTCAGACAGTGCTGCAACAGGCACTGAATAAGCGCCGTGTGCCACGGTGCAATACCCACGCGGAGGCCGTGTACCAGCCTCTGCCCGGGAATGCCTCACTCCAGCTGCTTTGTGCACCCACAGACACCTTTGCAGGCCGGTTCCTCTGACCCCAATGCAGGAATTTCATTACTGGGAATTCTGGTGGTTACCACTGTACGTGCAAATAGTTTGAAATACCAAAACACACAACTAAAGGCATTAATTGCAGAGAAATGCCAAACATACCCTGTCTAACCTTCTAGCTTCTATATGTCTAAGTAGCTGTTGTCTCCAGTCAGCAGGCATTTTAGCACAGCTCTCATTTCCCTTCACAGGGGTAGGCCTTGTCTTTATATCACTGTTATCGGAAGGCTTGTCGCCATAGTTACCCAAGTTATAGTCTGACGGTATCTTTTCCAGCAGAGCTGCCATTGTAGGCCTCGCTGAAACTGGCCTGGTTTGAGAGGTACCGTAACTCTCTGTACTGTAGCTTCTTGCAGACAACGGCCTCCTTTGTGTAAGGTTTTTAACAGGAAAGCTGCCAGTCTGGGCTTTCACTTCTTGGTAGGAAGGATGCTCGTCTTCGTACCTGCCGTTCCTCTTGAGGAACTGAGACTCGGAGACCGAGATGCTGCTTTGGCGCTCCACAGCTCCTCGGTACGGAGGCCTGCCATACCTATCGCCTGGGGGCAGCTCATGGGGCTCACTGACCCTCCTGAACATAGACATCTCGGTGGAACTGGCCAACGAATCCGCCCTCCTCAAGAAGCCCGGCCGAGAGCCCTGGCTCACGAAGGGGGCACTGACGGCCTCCTCGTTGACCGACGGCTGGGAGAAGGAGAACATGTGCTCCACAGGGGGGTAGCCGCGGTATGCCCTCGGGCTGACCAGCTCCTGGGGCAGATTTTTACTCTGCTGGGGAATGTACTCGGGGTTGAGCTGGAAAGGTGGTGGTAACCTCTTCTCGGCTGTGACCTCCACTGCTCCCTGCGGGTTGAAGCTTTGGTCAAACTGGTAGACCTTCTTTGTCACGGACGACTTCTGCTGTGGCTGCACCTTGACGCTGCCGTAGGTCAGCAGCTCGTCATCCAGCATGGGGACCGACTGGCTGCGGGACATGCTCAGCATGCCGTGCTCCGGGCCCAGGAGCTTGTCCACCCTCTCGTGGGCTCCTACAGTATCATTACCAGATGCATAGTTTTCTAAAGGTATATTATAAACTTTGTACGTTCCAATGTCTATCTCATCGATACTCTGTGACTTCTTAAATTTGTTAGTTTTTAAATCCCTCATCATTGGAGACAGCCTTTCTGTGCTCTTGCTGATCGAAATAACACTTTTAGAAGGGTCTGGGCGACAGTGAATATGTGAAAAGACATTTGTGAGACTTCTGTTAGCATTTGAATCGTGATATTCCCATGCTATTCCTGGAGTGAAAGTGCTAGATAATTCAGGAGACTCTTTGATATGATCTTTCCGCTCAGGCAAAGGGCTGGTGGTGGGGGTGTTTTCCAGTTTGGAAGGAAAAGCTGTCCTGTCTTCAAAAGGACTAGGGGTTCTGGTCCAATTTTGCCAAGGATTGGGAGGAGGCACTTCAGATTCGTGTGTGTTTCTGAGCGTCGGCTGCTCCAGCTCCAGAGGAATGCCAACTATCCTGTCTTGTCTGATTAACGGCCTGCGCCCGTGCGCAGATGTGCTTCTAGATTTCGTGCTTAGGAGAGGGTTAGCGCTCGGGTTCTCCACCGTGCTCTCCTCTGCAACGAAGCCGGTGTTATCGTAGTGCGAGCTATCATTCCAGCTGTCGGTGAAGGTGTCGCTCAGGGGACGCCTGTCGTTGCGCTGTGGCAGGTTTCCTGCCGGAGCAGATTCCCGCTGGCTCAGTAATGGCTTTGTTTCAAGGGGCTGTGGGAATGACTGCACCAGCCTGCTGAAATAAAACAAAATTAAATAAGGTAAAATGCTCTCTATTAGAGCACAGAAACAGTCAGCAGAAAGACAAATTTATGAAGAAATTTAATATTCTCCCGTCCATATTCAGGCTTTGCGATGGGCACTGAACTGGCATGAGTGTCTGCAGCAGTTCATTGCACTGGAGCACAGATGCTTCAAGTATGCACACAGAGAAAATAAGAAGCGAGTCAAAAGTCCTGGATGGCTCAACACCAAGTTCATATATAAATCCAGCTGAACATGTTTTTTTACTGTAAAAATAACCTTCTATGAATTGCAATTTATTTTTTTTTTAAAACAAAGCTGCCAGATGCAGCTTGTGCACCTTCTCACCACCAAGATGCTATGCATCGCCAGTAAGCAGGCTCCAGCCTCTGTTAATGGGGAAGAGCCTGTGCATTTCTTAAGACAGAGCTACATTTACGTGACTTACAGCAGGAACAGACAGGGCAGAGAGTTCCATGTATGGTACAAGGGTGCTTTCAGGCTGCTGATGGTCAGTGCAGATTACAACTTTCAATGAACTGTATTGCAATTGGAGGTCCAGGGCAGAGTGATGCTCAGGACAGCATGAATATGAGACACATGCACTCTGTTAGCTACACTAAACTATAGCCAGATGCAGCTCAGGACCACACAGAACAGAATAATTGCAGCTCAATTACTAGGCACTTTTAATGCATGGCTATAGCACATGGTTGAAAAGAGAGCTGTAGAATTACTGACATTTATAGAGTATGAATGGGTGGCCAATGCTCCACAGCCTGGGCCATGTATGGCTATGTACACCTCAGGATAATTGGGGTAAAATGTTATGATTTTGATCTGAATATCTTTACAGACAGTACATGATTATTTTGAATGAGTACAGCAACATAAGACAAAAAGCAGTTGGAAGCTGTTTTAGAGAAAGAGGATCACACCTGTTTCCCCACAAAGAGTTATTCACTGCATCTTTAGCTGTTGTCTGCAAGGACCCCATTTTAACATGCGCATTGGAGGACCCTGAGGAAGCCTGGGAAGGGGAATAGTCTGAGTAAGTGCCTGAGGAAACGCTGTTATTCAGACAATGGATCTTATCTGCTTCAGACTCATCTGTCGACTCTGAAACAAAACACAGCACATGTTTTCAGGAGGTGGTGTATGGAAACTAAACTCCAGAAAAATGCATTTTCAAATAGATACAATACATATATACATGTGTGTGTGTGTGTGTGTGTGCACAAATACATACACAATATGTTTTAAAATCAGTGAAGTGCAGAATACGTTAAATAACACATCTATCTATGCGCATTACATATGCTTCCATCTAGCAGGCTGTAAGTCAAGTTAGTACCTTTCTTCTCTTTACCCAGAAGAACAAGCTTGGGTGGGTACAACGGAGTCTCTGGTATGGAAGGACGAAGTTCACCTATCCTCATCTCACTGGCAGGATGTCCAAAGGCATCCTGAGGAATACAATAATGTAGAGTAAACACAGGAAACAGAAACCACTTCAAACTGCAACGAGCAAACATTTCGAAGCCTTCTTTTCATCAATGTGACAACACACCGAAACCCCACCATACGGGCAGAGATTGTCTAATTATGATGATTTGTCAGCTGAAATTTCTAATTAGTTCTACAAAAATACTTGTAAAATTATGGTGATGTGTTCATTCTGAAAATGTGTACAAAACAGATGGAGCTCGTGAGATACATCAAGGCCGTGTAAACATTTTTGATCAGGCAAAGGTCACAAAAAATGCAAGCTGCCAGCAGAAATAAATAAAATTTTTGAATAAATATTTACTTATTATTTCAGGAATAACTGTTCCTCATTCATTCATGGCACAAGTCTTTCCACAGATTCAGCTCTCCTTATAGCTATATTTAATTCAATTACTTTGTCTCTAAAGAGTTTTCTGCTAAATTAAAATGATTCAGATTTCAAAAACTTCTCATAGAGAGTTTAGCAAATCTTGACATTCTAAGACTTCCTGCACAATTGTTTTGCTGTTCTAGTCAGCAACAGGATACAAACTGAAAATAACATGAGTTGAAAAGTGGAAAGAAAGTGGTCTTAGAAAGAGACATGTTAAATTAAGGCTTTTAAATTGAGCTCATAGGATAGCTAGAAGAAGGGAACAAAGACACAAATAACCAATCTGTAGCATTTCTTATGCCATCACTGGAAAAAAGTTCAGAAATAAGAGAGATGCTACACCCAAAGATAGGTGACATGGGGAGACAGGGTAGGGGAAGACCCTAAATGGAGGAATGACGGAGGTAACCCAGCTCTCAGGAAAGATGGGCAACACAGGAAACGCATGCTGGGGGTGTTAGTGCATGGGCTCAGGGGAACATCCCGGAGAGAGAACTGATGGAGATGGGCACAGCAAGACCGGATGGTCGTGCTAGCTAACACCAATGAAGATCCTTGTGGGAAGGGGCAAGAGAAACACATTGTCTTGGAAGCAGGAGGATGAGCTGTGATTTTGTAAAGAGAATGGAAGCTGGGGAAGGAGGGTATCTAGTAAAAAAGAGGATGTGTCAGACAGGTACTAGGAGAAAATCCATAATTAGTAGCAAAAATTAGGAAGGGAATAGTTAGGGGAAACATATTTAGGAAGAAACTTTCCCTAATGGAGACAAAATGAGGATTTCTCTACCCTGACATTATGTTGTTAATGGTACTCCAACAATTATGGGTCATATGGCTTTGCAGAGAGAAGTCAATCAAGGAAGAGAAACAATTAAGAATTAAACATTTAGAGAAACAACTAAAAATGGAGTACCAAAACCAAAAATGCATTATCAAAATGTAAAATTCTACATTTTAAAACTTTATTGATTTTACTCATAGGGCGAAACCTTTGTGAGGTGTAGCTCCATTAACTACTTTTGAAATAACAGTGAAAACAAATATTTGTTAAAGCATTTGCCATGTGATTTATCCTTGAAGAACATAATTGTATTTAAGAAACAGATATTTTAATCCTTCTACCTTTGGTGTACTACTGGAGGTAGCACCATACCAAAATAGCAAAGAACAGGCATCTTCACAGCCCATTTAATTAACCCTGTCAAGGATAACATTTAAGTAAACACAGCCACATACTGACTCTTACATGATATAATATATTCAAGACTTTAAAACACTTTGATACCCAGAGCTCCCTTGTGGTGTATGATATTTCTCACATAACGGTATTGATGTACATACAACTTAAAGTGAGCAATAGTGCAATAGCATTTTTTCAGTGTAACACAACCATTTCTACTGCAGTGTAGCAAACTTATCATGCAAAACCATTTTTGAAAAATAACAAAGTGCATAGCATTCACAGAACGTGAAATTCCCCACTTTTGAAGCATAGTGTATGCTTCAAATGTTTTTGTTTTGTTTTGTTTGTACCTCTGAGCTTTTTGTATGCTCTTCTTTCTCCTTCCTGTCTGGGATTTCCAGAGTCGATTTGTGAGTGTTGTCTGTATCAGACAGGTGACTCTTATGGAACTCTTTACTTTCTCTATCTTGCTCCTAGAATCCCAATATTGTGCCGTGAAACTTTTAAAAGTTATAAGCTTAAAATAAAACTACTTGCTGTAAGATAAGAAGAACCAGCAGTTCCATATTTGACATAATGGTGAGCACAGGTTTTTATTTTAGCTGCATGATTTCATGAAGTTTTCTGCTATTCCTTCTTTCTTTCTTTCCTTCATTCTTTAACTTACTTTAGCATCTAGTCTAGCTATTCCAACAATAATCTATACACTTTTGAAAGAATTAGTCTGGCACTTCTGAACATACCATGAAAAAGTGAAAGATGTAAAAAACTAAAATCATATTCCATTTACTTTTACTCTGCTTAACAGCACCCTTTTTCTTAGAAGACCAAGAACAAAATGGACACTAAAAGAAAAAAGAAAAAAAAGAAAAAGCATTATTAATAGGACCACTTGCATGAGCAAAGTAAAGAAATAGACGTAATTGTGTTTTCTGAGAACCTATTCCTGAAGAGTACCCACAGAAAGATACAGACAGAGGAAAGAAAAATACGTTGAGCTGTTTCCCAAGAGAAAATACATGGTAAACCCCAGTAAAATAACTGGGAAAGAGAAATATTGGCAATTATTCATGCTGACAACACAAAAACATCAAATTAAAATCTAGAGAGCTGTGATTTTCAAAATAACCTAATTCTGAGAGTCTGTTTGCAAAGAACAGAAAAAGAATAGAAAGACCCGGGCTCAGTGCAGATGCATCATGCATAGGGCAAAGGCATGGAGGACCATTAAGGATGGATCTACTCCAAAAGAACAATTAAATATACGTAGAGGGTTGGCAGCACTTCTGAACTGGAGTAGGCGAGGGCAATCTGAAAAATGACAAGCTGGCTATAAAGAAATCAAGAAGCAAAGACAAACAGATTCAGGCTAATATTACTTGGTCCATATTTTACTAAAATTTTAATGAGGGACTAAAGAAGATCACAGAAAATGTAGCAACAAATGTAACCAGATAGATATCAGAATATCTCTAGATACAAGTGAGACTAACTGAGGCATAGATATTTTCCCCAGAGTCACAGTTAGGTCTAGAATTGCAGGCTTAGAAAAAAAGCCTCCCTGAACCACTCACCATGTCACAGACTCTGCACATAAAATGGCAGTTCTTCTGTCTCTCAGCCCTGCATGTGGACAGCTTCAAAGTCCCACTAAAAAGTCTTCTCCTGATAAGATCACAAAGTGCAGACTTCCTGAAGCTGCGTGTGAAAGTCAGTCACAGTTCTGAGTATGTTGCTAAAATAGCAATGACCAGATTGACCTAAATAAAATTCAGTCACTAATCCCGAAATGCACTGAGAGTCACCCAAAACGCGGGATTATCCCAGAAGGATGTGGAGTGCAGGGTCTTCCACCTGCTCCCACAACTCTCCCACTCTTCTGCCTGCAGAGGCTGCTTCCAGGAAGTCCATTTCAGTGGCCATTAGCTCTGAAGGCTGTCTGTGTGTACAGGGTGTAAAGACGAGGTATAAGTCCTACTAAAGAACTGAACTTGTGGGATGAGAACTGCTGAATGTGGATCTGGAATCTGAAGGTGGAAGAATGAAGGAACCCCAAAACACGTCCTGCCTGCAGGGGGGTACAGCAGCCAGCACACTGTTAGAGCATTGATGCAGTGAGCTCGCCCCTTTTCAGCTCCAGCAGGCATTCCCAGACATACAGCATGGCTTTAAAAGGAGACACAAACTTGCTGCTTTGGTGACACAAGTACTTGAGGAACAGACTGGGATAGTGTTTGGGCTCCACGCAGAAAGACGGAGTGGATCCTGGAAAATAAATTGTTCTGGGCAGGTAGGGCTGTTTCTGCCATGTCTTTCTGCTTTGCAGTCCTGGGGACTGGCAAGCACTTGGAGGAATGCACACTTTAACCTTGCCTGTTAGGTGATCAGAAGTACAGCCCATCAGATGCACCCAGGCACTGACCAGAATTTGCTACGACCTAAGAAGTCAAAGTCTACAGAGATGCATTTATTGTGAAAACTTCAATTTCCAATAGTTTTATTTCAAATGGCTGAGCTTGTTTGCTGACACGGTCAGAACTCTGGAAAGATAAGCTGCAGATTCTCATCCAAGCAGTTGTTTGTCATGTACTGCAGAGGATGGGAAACCCTGTAACGTCATCCTAAGTTATAACCCACGGAGATGGTCTTGCCCAGTTCTGTACATAGTCTTCAGTGTGAGGACAGAAGGCCCAGTAGTGCTCTGAGTTACAACACCCTAATATCCGAATTGCACTCCCTGTGCTCTCCCATCTCTGGAGGAAAAGAGCTTCTGCCACACTTGGTCTAGATGGATACGTACCCAATTGCATATATTTCACTGGGGTGAACAGAGACATTCTCAGGTCTCTTGAAAAAGAGACTTTTTATGGCCCATCAGACATAATCCAGGCCTACATGCCCTTCGTATATGAGCTTGTACAGGGTGCCACGTCCAGACGTGTGATACTGCATCTCCCAGGTCCTCACGCAAGTGGGGCCAGGCAGAGCAGCAGCCTCAGTGGGTGCGCTGATACCTTGGACTGATTTTATGGAAGGTGGGCTTTATCTTGGAGACAGGTCTGAATAATGCCTCTCCAATCCAGACACAAAGATAAGGTCAGGCAGAAGTCAAAGTAACTCAAAACGGACTTTTCTCCATTTATGTGGAGAATGTCCAGAACAGGAAAGCATTACTTCCCTTCTCCTTTGACAAGAAGTCACTGAGGTCATAACCTCAATAAACATCCTTTGTACTATGGAGAAACCATATGGCAAAACTCTATAATGAAGATGTTTCTGCCTGCTGATTAAATATAGGTAATTCTGCTGCAAAGAGCTTATCGTGCTATGGCCTTAAAGCAGACACAGACTGAAAACCTTTAGGACATATTTCCCTCCCAGTCAAGAGAGACTGCCGTTGTGCATCTCATTAAGGGAAAACGGTTCCCAAAAGAGACGCATAAATTGAATCAACTGAAGCCAGGCAGCCTAGGGAAAACAAAAGTGTGCAAATTCTCTTGGAAAGGCAAGATGATCTTTTAGACAATCTCTAAAACTTTCACTAAAAACAGAACAAAAAGAACACCTTTCTCCCTCTCAGCCCCCATTCCTCCAAAACAACCCAAACCCATGCAAGTAATGAACTAAGAAGTTGAAAGGATTACAGTCTTATTTTGATTGAGATGAGATAAAGGTCTCAGAAGAGCCAATGCAGCTGAGGCAGTATTTTTTTGGCTGTTAGCACTAGTACCAGCACCAGCATCTGGAGCAGATTACTCAGAAGACAACAATCTCTCCTTTTTACACAGTACTAATGAACCTGCTAGGAATTAACACAAAGGATGGAATGTTGCATGCTGGACTAGAAAATGCTTATTTATTTATTTATTTATTTAAACACAAAGCTGACAGTTATACAGAACTCTTTCAGATGATTTTCTCAGTCCATACATATCAAGAATATTAACTAAAGATCTCAATTGCCTATTTGTGGTATTTCTCAGTGATGCTCATGGAAAGGGTACAAAATGCACTGTTATCCCAACCTTCTTTTTGTCTAAAATGCACATCTTTCACAATGACATAGGACAACAAAAAGGTTTATTTTAAATGGTGATTAATTAAGAAATTGTTTATTATTACCAAAGGTGGAGGATAATACAGAGGTTTTGAAATGTAGCTTATTACTCATCTCAGATTCTCCTTTTAATTATTTAGGAGCAATTCTGTGAAGACACATGTGTGAATTAATTGCAAGAGAACCCAAGAGAGATCAGAAAAGAAACCAGCTTATCTGGCTTCTGAAGATGAAAAAGTGAGCACTGCATCTGAAATTAAATTACCTTGTTATAAGAAAACTGTCTTCAGTCTAAATCTATAGCAGAACACACCTGCATTTTCAAACTGTATTTTAACTTGAGGCTTGAGATCATGTCTCCTAATTATCTGAAAAGCAAATGGAGCTTAATTATGTTTTATTTAACGTGTTACAACTGAAATCATGCTAATGTTATTCACAAATAATTCATAATTTTTCTACAGTTTCTCATACCTCTTTTTTATCTTTATGCAGGAAGCCAAAGAGAGGAAAATGTGTACATGATCTTGCTTTATTGCCATAAAAGCTTTCCAGAAATGTTATTTGCCTGAATGACAGGAATGCTTTTTTTGTTTTGTTTTCTTTATTTGATGAGATAGCTGTGCTACTAGTCTTGAATAAGTACTAGGGAATCTAAAATCTGGAAAAAGTCTACCATCTTCACCCTTGTAATAAAGGAAGATGAAAAATATGTTTCTATTGGTATGATGGAAATAGCTCATGGACTCACATCAGTTGCTTGTGGTAGAAAATCAACTAGGAAATTGCAATCACACTATTTAATTGCGCTTCAGGAATTACTGCAGGGTCTTTAGCAATTCAACTATTTTTATAAAACATATATTTTGATACTCTTGGATTAAACAGTTCATGTACATTCACAGAAAAACCAGATATGATTATTTTCCAGTTGCAAAAGTGAATGCATTTTAATCAAATAATAAAATGCAAGAAATCTGTCTTTATCTTCTTGTGTATTAAAATTCAGCATGCATTCTACATACTGGTGAATAACGGAGGCTTTGCTAGGCTTTGGATACTCTCAGAACTCTGCCATGGCTGTTAGCTGGGACATTACTCCCTGCTAAGGGGCTCCTCTTGGGCGACAGCAGCAGGACCAGTACCGCCACCTGTATCTGAAACCCTGTGTTGCCAGACCCAGAGCCATGAGACCTAGCACCCAATGGCTTTATCAGACAATACTGATTCCAGATAGTATGCATGTGGTCTCAGTATGGTTAATTAAAAACATCAGAAACCTATTAAGAATACTTAAGTTCAAAGTTAGTTGATGCACAATAAATTGTATTCAGCAACAAATCAGAACACGTAAATACTCATGCCACAAGACATAAGTTGGTTAAAAGGCCAAATTTACACAGTGAGATAGAGTATAACTGGTAAAAAAGAATAATGGTAGAATTTAAGATTTCACCTTTAGATAAAAACATGAATGATTTAACTTAATTTGAGATTTGAAGAAAGTTTTCTGAAGACATCCTAAGTCAAAAATAGATATTCTTTTAATAAATGAAAAGGTTTATCTTTAAATAAAATACACAGTACTGACAGTGCAGAGACAGTGACTGCTGTATAAGTGTGAACAGCCAATCTGTGTTAAGGATACAGAAAACTGAGGAAGAAAAAGTCATCCACACCCAACCAGCCAGGGATATTTCAAAGACAGTGAACTTATCATAATATTTAAAGAACAAAGGGGTGAAAAGATAATTTGATTTTTTTTTCTCATTTATTTCTTTTGAGTATTAGGACTTCATAAAGATTTGTAAGAATGGAGGTATTCCTGTAGGCCTGTCCATGCATTTTACAAACTATCAAGAAATACTGTCAGAGTAAGAGGTTTCTGCTATTTATAAGGTGTGGCTACACAAAGTAAGTCATTAGTATGAATGTATCAATGAGTAGACATCCTCTGAGATCAAACTTCAGCTAATAAAAACAGCTTTGCACAGGACTGTGCAGTACTTTGGAATTGATCTTTTACTAACTATATTTATGTCAGAATAGAAAACTTCATCGCTATGCATACTGATCCACTTTTGGCCAAAGTATTAAGGGCTAGATTGTGCAACTCATTGAAAAGCACTGTTCAGGGGCAACTGATTTTAAGTTCCCTGCAGTCAAAGAATCACTTCTGTTGGCTTCATTAACTTTTGGCAAGGTTTATTGGCTAAGGGGGATTGGACTAGATGATATTTCAAGGTCCCTTCCCCTCCCTAACGTTCTGAGATTCTGTGATGTATTATGTATTACATTTAATGGGATAGAAGAAGCAGAGCCTAATGGCATAGTATTGTGAGACAGAACAAACTGATTTGTCATTTACATATTTGGTGCAGAGATAAACTTATGTAAGCCTGATGTGTAAATCAAGATCAGGTCTAATCTCCCACTAATATGCAAGTCTCTTGTATCATTAAAATTTAGGAAAGTGCGGGTGTATATCAATACAAAAATTCAGATTTAGCTAGATTTAAAACCCAAAATTCAATCTGATAATCTTAGTTGTATTGAGAAAAAGAGCAACTCAATATAAAACTAGACTTACTTTACAGAATTAAACTAGAAACTCTTAGGTATGAAGTTCACAGCAGATGTAGCATATAATTTGAGGGAGTTATGTTAAAACCCCATCTTGAACTATTGAAAGGAACAACGATCCTTTTACATTACCTCCACTGAAATCTCCTTTGGTGCCATGGGCCACTTGTGCTCATACTTTTCTTTCACAGTTTGTTCACTGTTCGCAGTTGGTGCTGTGTTCTCAGGCCGTACTCCATGGCTTGTTTTGCCCACCAGATTTTGAACTGATTTTACCATATTCTTTAAATCCTCCGGGTATGGAGTGGGATAACGTTTTAGATTTATTTCAACCTGAACATTCATAAAAAGAATTAAAGCACAAATACAAAATGAAAACAGCATGCAAACTAAAACCATGGTTACAGTACTATGCCTAAGTGCAAATTCCTCAAATTTTGAGTTAATCTATTTGAGGCAATTTGTTACATATAGCTACCTTCATGGATTTTTAAGTTCTTGGACTGAAATTTGCTTTCAGTTACATTATGGAAACCTATAATGGAAATTCAGTGACATAAAATAATGGATGGGAATGCTTCCCTATAAGCTTATCTTTCACCCTGTGAGAATATTGTATTTTAATTCTACACTTGACTTGAGAGTACTAACATATTAAATCACACTTTTCCAAAACGATACTGGTGTAAATGAAGAATTAATTTAGCCATGTTCAGTGTACTGAATTAATCTGAATTATCTATAACAACTGAGAACAGAATCTGATCTACTGGGAGCTATTTGCTCTTTGAGATGGATAATGTACATACATACACTCAAGTATATGAATACTCTTAAGTATACAGAAAATGCAGGAAAACAGACTCAAACCACTACAGAAAAGTCACCCAAAATCACACTGAATATTCCTTTGACTGAAAGAGCCACTGTTTTGTTACAATGATCAACATCTTAAGCTTATATTTTTTTATCACTCAGAAGTAAAGAAACATGGTATTCACCCAAGTCCAAAGCAACCCTAATTTTAAGACAATTTTACAGAATCTCAGGGTTGAGTGAAAGGGGAAGGGGGACATGACATGACGCTATCAGCAAATTGCTCAGAGGAGACGGTGCTGTAGATTACCACGTCAGGAGGGATCTGAGCAGGAAAGAAGACAAACATGGTGCTGGCCTCCCCATCATGTTACAGATGTATTTTGCCTGCTGTACATTGCACCCCATCACGAGAAGAGATGCTGAGGAACCAGAAGAGCATGTGCAAACAGAGCATGACCTCAGCAAGGCTGCTCAGGCTCTGCAGAGTGGGCATTTGGTAGGTTTGTCCCTTGCAGCCAGCCCATGGCAGAGGTCCCCCTCAGCACATGGCTCTGTCCTCCATGGAGCATCTCCTGCCCTCCCTGCTCTGTCCTTCCCACTGCAGACCTGTGCTATCTGCACTGCTGGGACTGATGGTTGAGGGTCAAGCACCAGCTCCGTGGCTCATGTGGTAAAACAGAAAAGGTCTGCAGAGTGGTCTGCCCGCTGTCAGGCAGGAGTAATGGCCCCCAGGCATGGCCAGCTGAAATAGAAAAAGTGCTGCCCGAGTCTGCCACTCTCTTTGGGCCTGGACTTGGGGTGGAAATGCAATAAAATCCTTCAGCGAAGGAAAATTACAGCTCCCAGGGCAAGCTCTGTGTGTCAGGATAACTGTTGCTGTTTATGAGGCTGTGAACTTTGAAATTACTCTACATTTGCTGTGTGATAAGTAAGTATTTAGAAGCATTTACCACAAAGATGCTTTTACCTGGTTGTGTATGTGAAGTAAGCAAAGGGAGCTTGCTTTTAATAGCTCACTATACAGGCACTGAATTTTACACCCCTAATGAGTAGGTAAAAGGTAATTTTGGATTCAAATGAGTATGGTCTGTTGATGGGAATATTTTAGAAGCAAGAGCATGATCAATTTGGAAAATGAAACTATATGAAATACTAGCTTATAAGTCTGAACCACAATAGAATAAACATTACAGATAATAGATTCTGACATGACCTTAACATAAAACGTTAAAATGTATGACTATGATGTCATATGTTAATAAAGAATTCCAACAGAAAAAAGAAATTAAGTCTGTAAAGCATTACTAAAGCTGTGGTTGTTTTGCGGTTGAAAGAAATCGTATTTGGATGTGGCCTAATTAGGCAATAGCTTTTTCACAAAATCCGAGCCATGATTTAAATGCAGGTTGTACAGACACACATAGCTAGAACTCAAGTCACAGAGCAAATCCTCAATAAGTACTAGTCAAGGAAAAATTAACTGAAAGACTTTCATGCGATAGGCAAGTCAGAGAGGGATTTCAGTAAGAGTCATATCGCTATGCATATAACTATTACACAATGAAAGTACTGGCAGTTGGGGTGGGTGATATCCAGCAGAAAGCAGGCATTTTCATCACTGATTTAGAATTATCATTACAGTGGAAATCTGCACTCCCTGTCGATGCAATTCATTAATGTTTTAATGCTACACCAAAAGTACCATGACCCTGAAAAGAGAATTTTCCAAGTTCAAAATTCTTTATGGAAGAATTTATTGAATAATTAAAATAATCAAATTAATGTTATATAGTTTGGCTGAGAATTCAGTTTTAACTGTGAAATATAGAAAGGAAAAACCATTTACACTTTTATAAAATGCTAACACTGTTTCTGATTACCACCTATTGTTAATTGGTTAATCTTTGAATTCATCCCATAAAGGTCTGATGAAACTGCTGAAACTGCAAATACAAAATAGTCCCTGCAACCAATTGCAACACATGGATGGACTGACACACATTAAGTTCACAAAACGTTCCAGAAATTAGCTTTTAGCTCATGTGCATGCATTTAAATGAATGCTTGTGAACAGTTGAATCAAACAACTCTTTATGGCACTTCTAGGGTCATTCATATATGCAGATGAATTAGCCGTGCTGGAAAAGAGCACAGACATATCAGAAGGATGCAAGTAAGTGTTTCTACCCTATTAATTAAATTTGAGATTTTTTTTTTTTTTTGTAATAGCTTGGGAAGAAAGGGTGTTTTAAGGGTGTTTTCCATCACCCACATACCTACAGTGGGTAATCTTTTCCTTTCAAAGTCTGGTAAGATTTTCTTGTTTTGAGCAATGTTATTTCCACACTTTCCATTTTTATAAACTTACGGGATTTGTTGGTATTTAGTGTACACACAGTGAGATATAAGAAAGGAAAGATGTTTTCTTTAAGAAACACAGATGGGGGGAAGTACCTGAGCAGCTCCTAGTTCCTTGCTTAACTTTTCATTTAATACTTCTTCTCTGTATAAGCAACGACTATGGCATCTGCTGCAAAACGTAATGGTTTGATGAAGAGATACTAGGATCATTATGGAGGAGAGGAGCATTGAATTGGATCACCTCTCCTTCAAAGACAGACTGAGGGAACTGGGTTTGTTCAGCCTGGAGAAAATAAGGTTCATAGAGGCTTTCCAGTACCTAAAGGGGGCTACAGGAAAGCAGAGGAGGGACAGTTTGTCAGGGGGTATAGTGACAGGACAAGGAGTAATGGTTTTAAACTAAAAGAGGGTACGTTTAGATTAGACATTAGCAAGAAATTATTCACCATGCAGGCAGTGAGGCTCTGGCTGCCCAGAGGAGCTGTGGCTGCCCCATTCCTGGCAGTGCCCAAGGCCAGGCTGGGGGGGATTTGGGCAGCCTGGGCTGGTGGGAGGGGTCCCTGCCCATGGCAGGGGGTTGGAACCAGATGGTCTTTAAGGCCCCTTCCAACCCAAACTACATAGCGAAATCTCATGCAGAAATGGACCTGTATATTATGGCGTTGGTATATCCACTCTCTATGGATGAGAGGGAGAAGAGGTAAGTAACAACTCCAGAAAATATATTTTAGCGTTGGACTCTTCCCCCCACACTGGCACAAAGGATGACAACTGTCTTGACCTTCATCAGGCCAAGACAAAGCAGTAGGGAGACCTACTGCCCCGAGGGCCATGGGTCACCCACATGGCACAAACCTCTCCTCCACGCCCGGCCGTGCCACAGCTGCCTCCTCGTGCCAGGCGTGAGCAGGCAGCCCGGGAAGGAGGCACTGCAATCGCAGCATCCACAGCATCCTGAGCAGCTCTGGTGCTGTGCACCCAGGCCTGGCGTCACACCACGCCATGGCAGCTGCTCACCGCACGGCATAGGCCAAGGCCAGCTCCTATCTTCACTAAATGCTGTTTCTAGGAAACCTGAAAATGTGGCAATGAGTCTCGGCTGTGTTTGCCTCCCCATTTTCCATACAGCAGATGGCAGCATTGGAACTCAAGTACAAGAACACCATTTAGTGGATGAAGGATATCGTTTTTCTACAAAAACATCTTACTCGAAGGAAACAGTTGTTTCAGTCATTCATAGAGTTCAGAAATATATTAAAACCAAAATGGCTAAGTGACATTCTGTTGCATTTAAATATTGAGAATAATGCTTGCAACTAGCATATAATACAGTTAAATTCTTCTATGATCTTAGAAACTTATATCTCTATGATCTTAGAAATTTATATCTATTTCCCTGTTAATATTTCAGTTATTTTGCATATTTTGCACATTTGGACATCCGTATTGTTAACAGTTAAAATTATGATAAGAAGTAGTGGAACAACGTAAGACTCTCCCTGATTCTCTGCTTTCCATACGTGAGCCATAAATCTGCAGTTCACCTGGGGTAAAATTTCAGTTTAGTCTATTTGTCGTGAGTCAAAGATTGCTTTATGATTTCATTTTTCTGTTTTGAGAAGTAGTTTTTTACTTTACTAAATAAGTTCTGTTTTGCAGTAGAGTGAATTATCTCTAGTTGCAAGACTTTGATGAAAATTCCTAATTAGGGGAAATAGAATAAAAAATCCAAATTTTCCAAACAGATCTAAATCAGATGTTAAATATTTATTGCTAATAGTATTGCTCTTTTAAAATATGATTTTAATATCCTCATATGATTTTTGTCTCTGGCAACACTTGTTGGGTATTCTACTGCAGTTCAAAATATGCATTGTAAAGTGTTTGATCTGGGGTAATTCCTTTATATTATTCAAAAGATAGACATTGACATTTTCAAGTTTTTGATAGGTTACATAACTGATGAAAGATAACCCCTCTGGTGCACATTCCTGCATAACTCCAAGAAGTTGCAAAGTGCTCATCAACTTCCACAGTGAGAGGAATATGGAATACAGGGTCTAAATATTTCTAAAGAATTAGGTGGCTGGAGGGTAATTCTAAGTCCCTAAACATTTGTTGTTAATTTTGGCTTAGTGATGAAACACCTGTCACATTAGGAACCCAACACTAGGGTTCCTAATTCGAAGTTTTGCTGTCTAGGCAACAGCAGACTACCTGGTACCGTGTACTTCAGGGAGAGCAGGTATGTTCTTCTTTCTTAACTGCTATACTTGAAACATGGTTTCAAGTATTTTCTGCTTATTTATAAAACAGAAATAGTTCAATACAAGATTGGTATATTGGACCCTGTCCATAACACGTGAGTGCCAGAAAAAATCAAACACAGCTTACCTTAACTTTCCCTGCATTTTCCTCCTCTTCCTTTTTGTCTTCGAATTCGAAGGCAACAGTCATACGTTGCTGTCTCTGCTCCTCCCATAAAGTAGGATTAAAACTATCACTGTCTGACTGGAAATCTACAGTTAAATTGCAAACAGCAATGCAAAAGAACAAGGGATTAGTGCACTCAGCAAACGATTGGAAATGACCTAAAAAGACAAGTTCTTAGTGGCTCCTATAATCTTGGGTGACTGCCTTAAAACTGTTGTGGGGGGTAATGAAAGTATTAACTGACAAACCACTACAAACAAATTTTAATGCTAAAATCGGAAGAATGGTGGAAAGCAAGAGGGTTTCAGAGCAGAGGAGAGTGGGGTACGGGGATTCCAATCCCAAATTCCCAGATGTGCTGGGCCCAGAGCTCCGCACCCGCACATCTCGGAGGTGCCCCCACCCCAGCTCCCTCAGGCAGGCCGAGCAGTCCCTGCTCAGCTCCAGCTAGACCCTCGGCTTCTGCCCCACACACACTTCATGCCCAGGTTGAAATCATTTATACGAGGCCATTCTTCTGAAAATGTAAAAGAAAATGTAAATCCTGCGAATAATGGACAGGAGCCCTTTGTGTGTGACAAGATATGGGCTGTTACGTGTGCACTGCTGGCTTTACGTGTCAGAAGAGAGACACTCACACAAAGAACCACATCTGAAACCCCCCCTCTCTTTTATCTCCACTACCTGAACAAGCACTGCTCCTGCCTGTGTAGGAACTGCTGACGATGTTTTACCTTCATCACTGCGGGGTTGCTGGGGAAACATGTAGTTAGTCAGCACTCTCTGCTTTGTTTCTGGGTGCGCCTCCGTTTGCAGTGGAATGAGAGCCTTGGACTGTATAGGAGAGGCAAAACAAAGGACTGGTCACTCAGAGCATGTGTGGTAATTGAAACAGGATTTTAGTATGTGATAAATAGATAATACAGGAAAAACTAAAATTCTGGGTGAAAATAATCCTCTCCATGGACTAAAACCAGTGTTAGTTTGATGGAAATTCTTACTGTCCCATTCCTCACTTCTAGTCTGCATGTGATTCCCACCAGGGCCACCTGAGGAACACTAAACGTCAGAAATATTGACTGCGTGTTCAGCTCCGCACCGGTGGGGAAGCTAAAGGATCAGAAGAACAGAGCTACAACTGCACAGCAGAGCACCCACATTATGGCTGTGAGTTGTTTTAAGTCAAGGTTAATGACAGATGAGTTCATGGTACCTATTGATTCAGCTGAGTGTAAACCTGGTGCAAGCTACATGGAAGCACCTTGAATATTCAGATTTTACCATTAGGTTTTATTTTAATTGATTATTTTTATTGCCTTGCTCTAATGTAGGAGTGACTGTCACACTTCACAGAAGAGAAGTTGATCTAAAATGCATCACTGGAAAGTCAAAATGCTGAAAAAATATTGTAAATTTAAAAAGAAATATAAGTTCTCTAGCTGAGTGGAGGTGTCATGCAATGTTAATTTTTTGATGGAAATTAGAGTGAACAGAAGGAGAATCCTAATTTAGCACTTTAAAATTTACTCATCAGTTTCTATTATCTCTCCCAGTTAGTCTCCCCTCCCTTCAGCTTTGCAATTCTTTGATTAGCTATACAAGCTAAAAGTAAATGTAAGGAGAGATGCAATGAGCAAGTGCTGATGTAAATCTGTTGACTGCAGTACACTTGGCTTTGTTTGGGGGCCCAGCTGAGTGCTACGTGCTGGGCAGGAGCCCGGAGGTTTGTCTGGTACCACTACAAAGATACAACCCTGTTTGTGCTGCTCTGCACGGTTCTGCCCTCAGCCATGCTCAGCATGGGCAGATGCACCTGGTCTGCAAACGAACAGCGGCAGGACCAGAGTCCCTGTGGCTTCTTCATCCAGATAAAAGGATGGATTAATTTCCAGTAGTGTGATAATTACCCCGATCAACTTCAGTTAAGGAGATATAATATCTGATGTTGGGTGTTATTGTAAGGTGAGAAAGAAGAGATTATGAGAATTTATTGCAATTATTAAAAACTGTTAGGTATGTTGAACATTTCTAGCATGTTATTAATTGAGTTTTTCTCCACTTAAAGTCACATTCTGGAACTGCAAAATTATTTTATTCACCAATACTGGCAAAGATTGATGGGGGACTTATTTTAGTGCACAGATGCTGGCTAACTGTTGCATTTCCCTGTGTTCGTGTTACAAAATTTGTTTAAAAATAGAATCCTAAAGAATGTATAGTAGTGATACATAAACCAAGAAAGATATATAAACTAAGAAAGGCATATTTAAATTTAAAAGGAACTTAAACAAAAATTTTCTCCAAAACAAGATTAAGAGTACTTGTTCGTCTTCTACATTTTTAAACTCCCGCTGACTTTAATGGAGTTTAAAATATGCAGGAATGGAAGCATGGACAGGAAAGGCAGAAGACAAAAATGTAGGCATAGATGGAATATGGAGTGGGACAAACTAAGAACAAGTCCAATGAAAAATCTCACCACTTGAATTTCTATTTAAAAAACATTTTCTTGATAATTCTGGACTTTATTTTCTACTATATATTACTACTTTTGTCCGGATATAGAAGGTTAGTTAGAAGCAAGAGGTAATAAATGACAGCCAGGAGAATCTACACCTTAGTATGAAAGTAGCAAGCTGGACTGGGACTAAACACTTCTAAAATTCTACGACAGTCATGTATTAAATTATAGGCTTCATTTATGGCCCTTGCTAAGAACCCTAGTACTTTACTAAAGAAATTATGAATATTGAAAGGCATTACCTGGTTGTCAGAAAGCCACAAAGCTGCAAGTTCTTTAAGTTTAGTAAAAGTGAATGGTAAGTTCTTCAGTCTGTAAATGATAATGGAACAACATGAATACTTCATTTCCACAACAGTTTCTTTTTAATCTGTATGCAGCACACTTTGGCTCAGTCCTACAGAAATTGCTATCATATCTTTATTTTATCTCGCATTTTATTAAAATACAGTAATTTACTAAGGGGATTCCCCTTAAATTGCTTCCACATTAAGAGAGACTTTTGGATTCTAAAACTACTGATTTCATTGCCTGGAGGTACTAAGGAGATACCAATGTCTTGCCATGGCTGTAATGTAACCAGCTTTATAACTTATAACCAACACAAGTTACAGCTTATAACACAGAAAAAATCTTGGTCCCAGTGAGACTTCTAGCAAAGTCCTTACAGTTTTCAGTGTAGTTAACACAAACACTTTTATTTATCAGTTAAATTTCTGAACACAAATTACTCTAAGATAACTGAAAATTCATTTTTGCAGAAATGTTAGGAATGAAATTAAAATCAAATTAAAACAAAAACAAAAAACAACATTTTAATTATATGCATGAACACATTTCCTAAAATAATCTGTATGTGGGAACAGGGAAAACATGACTAGATACTTGTGGAAACATCATTCATGTTTTTCCCAGTAAGAAACTCATTATGAAAACATTATTTTTAATTTGCAGCCTGAATTAAGCCAGAGAGGGATGTCCTAGTCACATCCTGATATCCTCCCATCTTTGTGTTACAGAAGGTTAAAGAGCAGGAGGACTGTCAAAAGAAATGGACCAGCCAAAGGAGCAAATAGAAAGACAAAATCTAAATGTGATTTAACAGAAAGAAGAGAGGAAAAGCCCTTCTCCAAGAGATTCCACTCTAAGGTACTGCACCTACTCAGCATCATCAGGAGAATCCTTTGTCCCTCTATCATTAAATAACTGATAATATTCCTACAATCTTCTTCACATTAAAAATCTATCTGCATATCTGGGAGATATGTAACTCACAAGCTTTTGTACCATTGCCTCTATGCAGCGTTTTGAAAGTGCATCCACTGCGGAATTACTTTGGATGCATTTTTTGCCACAAAGATACTACCATTAAATATTGTGCTATTTTTGAAAGCAGTGTCTACTTACTGCAAGTAACACATTTTAAAGACTGTGATTTTAATAAGAGTATCTTATACTAAAGATGACTTAACTACAGAAGAGAAATAAATTGACGTGAATATATACAAATACAGTGTGTTGGGAAATAATCTCCAATTAAATGCTTGCATAGATTAGAGTATCTTTACATATGTGTGCATGTTTAAGCCTATAATTGATGCCATTGCAGTGTGTTTAAATTTAAATTTACACTTTTCTCTGGAATAGTGCAGAGTGAGACATTCTTTATAAATTAAGGTTACGAGATTAAGCTTTAATAGATAGTTAACATAAAGATCCTTAAATAGTGTTTATCTGGGTGTTTTATCCAGGGCGCTTTTTTTTTTTTTTTTTTTTTTTCCTGTATAAAAAGATATGTACTTTGGGTTTTCAAGTAAGGGCATCAATAATGATGCCCTTATTTCTTTACACTTTAGGATTCAGTATCTGTAGGATGAGTTTCAGAACTACATAGGAACTTTTGTCTGCAGAGCACTACTGGTGAAGTTTCCAACTCACTCAAGCTGAGAAGTGTGTATCAGAGGGAGAAGCAAAATTGGTAAGCACTCTTCAGAAATGATGTGTGGCAAGTGGATCTCCAAGCTGGTTTTCCATTTCCATATTCAAATAAAACACCAAACTTTTCATTTTTCATTCTTCTTTGCACATAAGCCTGGACACCTAGCTTTAAACATCTGAAGAGGACTGATTTTAAGGAGTCCAATAAGAAAAAAATCTCAAATTAGAGATCAAAGAATGGAGGCACCCAAAATCGGTACCATTTTTTGAAAATTTTCCACTGGGACAAGACTCATCCTCTTTTTCTAACTGCAATTTCCTTTGACAATTTTAAGACTGCTTTTTAAATTTTATGAAGTTTATCAACATTTCTCCTTATGTGCACTAAAAATGCAAATGCAAGCATTCTGACTTTCATGAACAACTGAATTACCAAGTCATTTTGTATTTCACCCATTTTCAAAACAAGGCCTGTTATACTTGTCATTTACACTACATTAGTTTAACCATGAAAGGTAAATACGTAAATGTTTTTATAACTTCATCTGCCAATATAAGGTTATGATATAGCTACAAAGCACCTCAAATGTTACTTATGCATAGCTGTAGCTTGATTACTTTCTACAGATTAGGAATTTTGGTATAAATCAACATAATTTACTGATTTCAAAGAACTAACTCACTGCATTCTCAGTTAAAGATTTGGGCTCCTCCAAGGAGAAAATTGTCCTTCAGTAATATAAAAAAAAAGTGATTAGTTTGAACTGCTTCCATTTATCTAATATATGGCTGCAATCAGATATTAACACAAAGAAATGAAATGTCCATGAATATGCTATTCAACAAATAACTTTTCTGTTATGCTTAGATGCTGAAGCATCTCACTAGACAGCATGGAAAATTACATGCATAATTGTTTTTATAAATCTAAGGAAAATATATTCACAATGCTAGACGAAACTTTAATAAGTGCATCTTCTTAATTATTAAGAATAATCAATTATTAATTATTAATTATATTAAGAAGATGACCAAATTAATCAATTTACAATGAAAAGTCATACTCTGCTGTACCAAAATAACTTATTCTTACTATGGCTGAAACTCTGCTCAGCCTGAGTAAATAACCTTTGCATGAGGCCATTTCCTTACTGGAAGCTACTGTAGGACTGCTTCAGAGCAGCCAAAATCCAGAAGTCAGGACTGGGAACTTGCTAATAGAAACAGAGCCATAGCTCCTGCACCCATTCCCTCAGGCACCAGCTGAAGGGCATTCAGAGGCTCGAGTTCTGTGGGAAGGCAGTATCTGAATCTTCAGAACAACTACACTGCTTCTGACACTTGGCAGTCATCTGTTGCACATGCTTGCTTGCATAAACAACAGTTGCATTCCTGTACAAGTTTTAAATCACTAACTTTGTTTTGTAGTCTCTTAAACTGAATTGTAAAAAGAGCTAAACATGCAATAACAAAATAAGGAAATCTTTTAGTGCTACAGACATTTTCTGTATTTATATTAGTTATGTTATGTATATAAAATCATGTATGCCTTTGGTAAATGTAAAAGTTTAAAGGTTATGAATAGAATTATTTCTTAAAAGGAAAACACTGAAATACTGATTTTTCAGCAAAGTAACTCTCCTCAGTAATAGTTCAGAAAAATAAGAAACATATATGTTCTTTATTGTATTTAATTTTCACACATAAAATGTTTTCTTAGGAGGAAAAAAAAAAAAAAGAAAAGAAAAAAAAAGAAGAAAATAAACATCCTGTGAATTCCCTTAGGTGAGTAAAACCAAAAACTAAAGCAACAACAGCACACTTTTTGAAATGACATCCCTAAACATTAAAACCATTAACACCCTATGACCCCACAACCTCAAATAAACTACATGTCACTGTGTTACACCACGCTGGAATGAGGACTTTAGGTTAATTTAGAGTAGACCAGCCAGCCAGTCAAGCCCAGAGACAGTTGCTACTTGTGACAGTTCTCTACAGTAACACTCAGCAAACTGACAACAACAGGGTTTTGGGAGTGTGAAAGTTTAAAAGAACATAATTCACATTAACTCTTCAATATACTGTTCACATGAATGCCTGTGGATAATAATGGACAGGAATAATTATCTCTTTGGCAATAAGCAATATTGTACAATTAAATAATTGAACAGAAAAGATACACCAAGGAACAGGCCTTTGTTTTGGAATGGATCACATAATCTTGGGATCTTTTTTCATCTAACTTCTGTTCGTGAGATTCAGAGTAGGAATTGAGTCTGACCCCAGGACAGAAGCAGAAGCAGTGCAAATACAGAAAGGTAATGACTCTTTCAGCTCTTCTGTAAGAACAATCTAAAACTAGAAGAAAGGTTACTTACCAGTAACCGATGCTCTTTGAGAAGTGTAGCCCAAATGTACATTCTAACAATTCTACCTCTCAATCACAGGACTCATACCTGGAAGGACTCTGAGGAGAGAGGAGAAGCAGATGGAAGACAAATGTATAGGTGGACTACACATTGTGAAGAACACCGGTTACTGGTAAGACATCTTTTTTTTTCTTTGAATGAATCCCATGTGCAGTCTTAGCAGTGAGTGTATCCAAGCAGCTACCCCAGTGTGATGGAGATCTCAGCACCTTTCACGCAAGTGGTACCTGCACAACTACTGTATCAAATGCTGCATTGGTTCTTGAAGCACTGGAGATAGATAGTGTTATGCCTGGCAAAGGCAAGGATGAATCTCCAGGTAGCTGCATTGCAGGTATCTGGAATCAAAACTTTCCAGAACACACAGGGTGAAGCCACCTAAGCTCTTGTCAGGTGCACACTAACCCTCATTAGACTCCACTTTAGCAATGTGATAGCAAGTCAGGATGCAGCCCACCATTGCCTTTTATTGTGCAGCGACAAAAAAATACTGTATTTTCCAGTGGTGTAGAGTCTGTAACAGGGTTGAAAAGGTTTGGACCTGTAAAGATAAAAGGAAAGAGGACTCCCAACTACGGAGATGAGAATTATAGATACAGTCTTAGAGTGTAAGGCTTGGGAAGGAACAGCTGGAGTCTAATTCCCTTGTTAAAATGGAGTTCTAAAATGAATGTCTGTAGAAAATCCTGAAACCAAAATAGCTTCTGGTCAGTTAAGATAAGCAAGGTTCATCTTTCAATGATGAGGGCCTTCAGAAGACATAGAACAAGAGCGAAAGCCTGCAGTAGCTGAAACCATAGTATTAAAAATGCACAAGGGAGAGAATCCAAATACTGACCCACCTTTGAGCAAAATGTGTCAACTCACAAAAATTTGAGATTCTTGTTAACCTACGTGGCAAAGAAGTCTATGTCTGGTTTGTCTCCTTCCTGAAAGATATCCAAGGAGGACTTTAAACCAAATCTGCCACTTATGATACAGGAGGATGTGGAAAATGTAGATTTTTGACATTCATACTCAGACTACAGGTAACACAAGGAAGAGAGGGCTTCTTTTTAACTCGTTACATGCTACTTCACAGTTAGGTTGTCCATCACTCCTTGTATGCATGACCATCTGGAGAGCAGACAGTAAATTTTCCACGCATTTGAGCAAGGCAAGTTCAAAGCCACCAGCATCTCTGCGCTCTGAATGCCTGGAGCTGGGCTGCACTCCCCATGCCGTGAGGAACATATTCAGAATTAACATTTTTGGTGGCAAAAGGGCATCTCACAATAAACACTTGAGTAGCCCAGTCTCAGCAGGGCAGCATTTAACCTCAGATGGAATTGATGTCAACAAAGTAGGAAAACATGATCCCCAAGGACTGCTCAAGAAAAGTATGAGATAATTCAACCAGTTCCTCTGTCTCCTAGTCTAGACTCTGCTCTTCAGCTAGCTCTAGAATGTCTGTAACTTACTGTACAGTTTTTTATATCAAGTTGAGAGAACAGCTTCCCATGCCAATGGGCAAAGGCCCTGTTCTGCCCTCCTCATACTTTCCCATTTGGTGCGCAGCCACTGTTTACCTTCAGCTGGCTTTGATGCTTGCAAGACTCCACTGCGAGCAAATTGGACACATGGGGAGCATCAGAAAGCAAACACAATAAGAAAAAAGATCAATTCTTGAAGTTTCAGTGAATTAAGTCATTGCAGTCATTTGACCAATGAGCCCTGAGTAAGCCCAAGGCAGAGTGGGCGGGACAGTGACTGGTGTGTTCCAGGCTGAGGAACATCACATTGCTGGGATGCTGGTCCCACCATTTACCCCACAATGGAAATCCCAAGTGCTCTCTTATCTCTGGGCAGCCAGGGAAAAAGGCAAGTGGGCAGGACTGCTGTTTCAGTTGCAGCCATCAGGTCAGCTTGGTCAAGAAGCCTTGCATACTCTGACCACCTCTGCTGCCTTCTGCCAGCAGTGAGCCACCTCCTCCCCCTCGCCCCAGCAATAGCACTCATAAGCAGTAATTACACATGTAGTCACAAGCCTGAAATACACAGCTGATCTGGCTGAAAAGTTACTTGGCAAAAGGAAAGAAAAGAAGAAGAAAAAAAGACTAATTTCTGCTTCCTCAACACACACTCATGGCATGATTACAGGTTTGAAAAGGGGTCAGAGTGACCCAGCTCAGATTGGTTTAATGTGCCAGTGAGGGCACTCTACAGCTGCAGCTCCTTGGAGTCCCTAAGATGCCCTCAGCCAGTGCTGTCCTGTTGCCTCCCCAGCCCCATGCACACCCTGTGCACACCCACATGCTGCTAGAGCTGGCTGCTCAGCAACACAATGAGCCACCCGAAATGTCCACCTGAAAATTCACCATGTTTCTGACATTTGCTGCTTTCATCCGTATTGCTTATGTATTCAGGATCACCATACACCTGGATGTGCCAGACTGAGGGAGTTTAAAGTTAAAACACGGCTGCAGTCTGTAGCTCCACAGACAAGACCCCAAACCTCCACTACTGTGGTGACATGCTGATGGGAGAGTCCTCCCATGTCCCTGTGAAAGCACTGGAATGTGAAACCCAAAAAGATTTGATTTTGGGACTTGGACGGTTTCTGCACGGATTGGAGGTCAGTTTAGGTTTTACATTCTGGTCCATACATAATGCACTTCATAATACACAATTACAGTGAGGAAAATGATCTCATAGAAGTAAGTAAACAAATTTGAATAAATATATTACGGGGATATCTTGATTTTATAGTTTATGATCAACCTTAATTTCAACAATGAAACTGGTGACAGCAAATCAGACACAGATGTGCAAAGTTCTTCCCCTGATATTTACTGAGCACAGATGATAGCTACTTGGAACAGAATGGTGTTCACACCCTTTTTATTTTTATTTTTTGCATTATTAGGCAAATTTGTATTTCTGTGGTTGTACTGAAATTAACATATTCTTGGAACACATGTTTCTTTAAATTCCATGGAAAGGTCAGTCCTTTCTGATGCCTATGGGAGCACAGCATAAGTACCAAGAAAGTCTTGTTTCAAGCATTCCATTTCTCAGAGGAACAGTGAAGTGTGTGAGAACACAGAATCTGGTGTTTGGGTTGTGTTTTTGTTTGACAACACTTTTGCCCTGCTGAAGGAAACAGAACATTTTCTTTGATTTCAGTGGGGTCAGGGTAACATGTAGTATGTTTGCACTTACTGATCTCCTATATAACAGCTTGTCACAATTTTTTGAGCAGGGCACAACACTAAATATTATAAAGTTATATACAATTTTAAAACCAAACATCACGCTTTCACGTGGAAATTACAGGTGATAATATAAGTAAACAGTCTTTCATCTCTGAAAGCACACCGAGACCCAGATGCTCACCACATTCAAGTTTTGCTTTGGATATTATGCAATTAAAACCAAACCATAAAGATTAAAAAAAAAAAAAGAAATTTTATATATAGTTTAAATACTTAAAGTATTCATAAATATAATTTCTATGTATTTCATATACTTTCATATATTTTAAATAAATGTATTTTAACAATACCTAGAGAGAATTATCTATTCTTTTAAAACAAATTCTTGTGACGTGAGTTAGGAAAATTATGTGAACTATACCTGTTATCACTCAGATTTAACACTCTTAGCTTCTGCATCTGACCTATTTCATCAGGAAGAAATTCCAGCTTGTTGGAGCGCAGAGACATCACCGTTACGTTTTTACAGCTTCCAATCTATGGGAATGGAAAAAAAAAAATTTAAATGTTAGGATTTTGGTAAAATTTATTATCACTAATTTTATGTCAGAGGGTGGCCATTTTTTCCCCCTATAAATAACAAAGAACAGAAAATACAGTATCCAAAGTCAGAAAATATTATTCTTCTTTGTCAGAAATCTCAGGGAAATGCACTACATTACTTGAACTTCTGAGTGATATTCTCATCTTTACATGAGTTTACTAGTTTAGTTTTTATTATTTTACTATAGAGTATGTAAGAAAGATTTGGTATTCAACACTACGCAGAAATAACTGCTTTAAGAGACATTTTATCATAGTATGGATGAAGTCTTAGGCCTACCAAAAGCCATTTAAATCTAATTTAAAAACAGGATCAGCTTCTCACTTCTCTGGGTAGTTCAGGAAGGAAATTCTCATCCACAGCCAACGTCCTCAGGTTGTGAAGGTAACCGATTGTTGAAGGTAAGGACTCCAACTCATTACAGCTGCAGTCAAATTCTTCTAATAAAGATAAACTGAAATTGTAAATGTAGTTGTTAGATGCTGTACAAGGGTTAGGTAATAAAAAATAACAATCTAAAACCTTTGAAAGTTTAAAACCATCACACTTCTACAGATGCCATACCCTGAAGATGGAAACTTTATTGCAAATTTCCCTAGAAGTCTGTAATAATACAACTTTAAGAACTACTAGGAACACTGTTTATCAGTCATAAGTGGTAGGACAGTTTAAGAACAACCTGTTAGTTTCCCATATTATCATTCTTATGTTTTGAAGTGAGGATGTATTCCAGGTATTCCAAATTCACAATGATCAGGGCAATTCATACTAAACTGAAGAGTCAAACAAAAAATTTATAGTATTTATAAATTTATATACGTTATATAAATTTATATACGTTATATAAATTTATACATTATATAAATTTATATACATACAAAGACATAAAACAGCTAAAGAAATATCAGTGGTGAGCAAAAAGGAAAAAAAAAAAGATGCAGAATTTGCCTTCAGGTACATTCCAACTGATGCACTTGACATCATTTCTAAAACAGATCAGTAGTGAAAACAATGAACTTGGATCCAAACTCAGCAAAGTAATCTCAGCCTGCTTTAGTCACACACAGCTTCTGTACAAGTGCTTATCTTTCACGTATTGAGAGTTCTGGCTAAACTGCGATCGTAAAAGGGTATCTGTATGGCAAGGACTGAAACAAAGTAGACCAAAACAAGTCATCTCCTAAGATTCAAGTTCTCCCTTTATAAAAAAATGAAATAATCTCCATTAATGTCTTTTATTCCCTTCCGTATGTTGTTGTATCTGTCAAATTGTGAGGAAGCTTGAACTTTCCTCCATGCAATCATATTTTCAAATAAGAGGAAGAAATAGAGTCAGAGTCCTCTGCTGAGCTAAATAGCCCAGGTTATCCATAGCCCATTGTATCACCAAGATTGGTATACATAGAGAAATACAGCTTTCAAGTGCACAGAACTAGCATACGGCATACTTCTGCGTTTTATTGCCATCACTCCCCACTTCTGCTGGCCCTTTTTTTGCTCCACATGTACTATGTTTTTCTCTCAAGTTCTATAATTAACAACATCTCCCTGTCCACTTACAAAGGGACTAGATGCCCAGAAGCATTTTCCAAATGTGTTGGTAGATCCAATAAAAAGTTTACCCATGCTACAAGCCCTGTATATACATATACATGTACATATACCTGTGCATATATATACATATATGTATACATACAGGTACACATATGCATATACAAGTCACAGCTGCCGGACTAGACCTTCACTGTATGTCTAACTTACCTTTATCCCATTTTCTTAACTCAAAAAAAAAAGTAAAAATGGTCTTTTAACCTTCAGATTTTATCAAATGTGAAACCAGAAATAGATACTCCTTACAAGGAATTCTCAGAACTTTCCTATAATTGCTGTGTTTCAGTAGACTGAAAAGCCAAAGTGAGTCATACAGCGATTAGTGCAAGAGATGCATGGAATATTTCCAAAAGCCCTGCTAGGTTTTAGCTTTTCTTTATTATAAGCTTTGCATCTACCTAATTTATTTCAAACTAGTTACAAACCAATTTCAGTAAAGGCATAATCCAGACGTGTTCAACTACTTCATACGGAATACGTGCTTTGACAGATGGAAGTCCAACTTGAAAACTTGTTAAATTGAAAGATGTGCATATTCTTCCTTTTACTGATGATAACACTATCAGAAAAGCTTGAAAATAGATAAACTAATTTTGAACAACTACATTTCCAATGGAAATCGGAAGCTCTGATTCTCTGAACTGTAACTGTGCAAGTTTCTATGACAGCAAAGAATGACTTTATCAGACAATAGTTTTATTTGAAAGATATTGTCTGGCACAGACATTCTCAGCCTCTTTTCTCCCCGATGACATCATCAGTAGACAATTGAAGATGGCCACAATAAAAACAACAAAGTCCCCATGGAAATATAATTTATCTCTGTAACTACCATTGTTAAATAATACGTAGTTCAGAAAGTGATTTTTCATTCACCATGACTTGATGAACAGTATGTTGAGAATAACAGCTATAATTACAATCATGCTAATTTAGCTAAAATGTCATTAACTTTAATGTCTTCTCGGGCTAAATTCAGATTTTTCTCTATAGATTTAAAGAAGAACAGGCAATAATCAGATATGAACCTGCCACTCCGTTTGGCACCCATTAAAATGGGGTAGTTCTCAGCAGTGTCCTAAGGTAGATGAAGAATATTTTTAGGCAGATTAGTAAGGAGACATTCATGGAGAATGAAGTCTGCCATGAATAGAAGAGTAGTTCCAGCCTGTCTCAGCCCCATTTTGTACAGTCACAGACTTTTTCTCTCGACAGCCACAGCAGCCTAAATCGCAGATATTAGACACACCCACTGTTATCTGTTCAACAGCAAGCAGAAGGAATTCTGTAGATCCAGGAACAGAAATTTGCACTTTCCTTTGCAGCATCCGATATTGTCAGATATGGTGTTGACTAGAAACATATACGAAACACTCATCTGACACAATATGCTGGCTCCTGAGTTACTGCACCATTACCTACGTATGGGGTACAACCTTCCTCATGACCTTCCTACCCAGAAAGTGGGAGAATGGGCATTTGCTCAGGTCCTGTACATGCAATCTCCAGTCCCTGGGTCTGATTTGTAAAGTACATAATCGATATAAATCCTCTGATAAACACATGCTTAAACATTTTATTAAGGTAGGTCTACTGTGCATAGTATACTGCAGGGTTCAACTCTAAATGCCACTTACAGGCTTGCCCTTTGAAGAAGACTGCCAAAAATGAGGGTGGTGGCTCACTGCTAACAACATTGACTCAGGCAGTGCTGAAGTGCTCTGTGTCTCATCATGAAATTGGTCCCTGGAGGGAGAATTCCCTCCTCCACATCACTAATCTTTGTGTGACAATAATACACTCTGCAGTGGGTACTATGACTATCATTCAGGAGAAAGAGACCCAGTAGGAAACTATCCAAATGGATGAGTCAGAGAAAGGAAGTTCATTTTGATGTGGGAGACACTGTCCTCATTAAATGAGGGAAAGTACTTCGTTTAAAAGAAACAACCAATCATTCAAAAATAATGTGATAATATTAGATGATTAACCTAGTGTTCCACAAATACACCTTTTAGAGCAGCAGTAAGCAACTCTTCAAATATAATTATGGATCCACAACAAACAATTCTGACCAGATATTAAAAAAAAAAAAAAAAAAAGAAAAAGAAAAAAAAAGAGGGAATCCTTTTCAATCTGAATCAATCTGAACAATCAGTAAGAAAGCATTGTCACAACAGGTTATAAAAATGATTCTCAAAATTATTAAAGATAATGTTCGACATTATATCAACCTTTTTGCATATAACTTTGAGCCTTATGAGCTTTCACAGTCAGAAGTTATTGCTACACAACAAGATTTTCTTTTTGTCATTCACTTAACCAATTTTTACTACACATCATTAATATCACATAAATCTAAAGGCACTACAAGAAGTAGAGCATGGCAAGCCAAACCTCAGCTTTCAGATGTTACAGTTTTCATAGTTCACAAATTTGGATTTTCTTTTCCTGAATGTCATATAAATAACTAAATTATTATTGAAAATATTACTATAAAATGGCTGCAGGAGAAGCAATAGCTATAGAGGTTAGAGCTCATTTCTATTCTAGAGACCTCACTGTCCGATCATATTCTTGAACAAGTTCCAAAAGCTTTCCAGGCTTTAATTTTGGAAGGCTCACAACAGCACTGGCTTAAGAAAAATACTCCCAATGAAGGGGTTTGTTGAGCTAGAACTCGCTGAAGAGAGAATAGTTTTTGGACTGTAAGAACAGGCAAAGAGCCTCAGTGCAACTCTGTGCACAGATGCCAGAGACAGTGCCTGCCCCTTTCCCCATGTTCTGTGCTGACAGCACGGGATTGGTATAGCTAAGTGTTCAGTCACACCAGACAGACAATCATTTTTTAGGCTGAACTCTGTTCCTTCTGCATGAATACTGGTGTAAAGAGGAGGATGAAAATGCAAGAGCTGTAAAAGGTGGCCAAAGACCCTGCATTCTGATTTTTTTTTCTTAATGCCAGTTTAGATTGAATTACAGATGTAAAATATGTAGAGGAAGGGGTATCCTACAAAAATGCCAATGTTAAAGATATCTTCTGCTAGAAAGGGATATATGTTGCATGAAACAATATAAAGAACCACCTATTTCTGTGTATGGAATAATAGTCATACTTGGAAGTAGGTGGTTCTTTGTATAGTTTTGGAAACAGGCTTGAACCTGCCTTGACAGGTGCCTTGAAGTTTACAATAAATTGTGGATTTCATTAGGCAGTAAACTCAAGACCATAGAGGAAAGCTCTGCACACAGCAACACAACAGAATTTTGTACCAATGATCATGTAATATCTGACAAAATGATATCTAAAGGGCATCATTAGTGCTTTTCATAATAAGTTTACTTGTAGAATACTTTAACATTTTGATGTATACACCTCTGAAATTGTCGTGACTTTTCCATTTATGTGACTTCAATATTTTCAGGTATCTTCATACACATGAGGTTTACAGCCATTTTCTTTCCAGCATCAAGTCCTAGCTGTTGCTATGGAAACAGACATATTGCCCCAAATACTTATATTTCTTATACTTTTGTTGCTCTAATCATCCAAATTACAAGTGATTCATACAGAAGATAACTCTTTGTTCTTTGTCTTGAAAAATATGATACACTTCACCTTCCCGTCACTTATGCCAGTGTAAGTCCACAACAGTAATGGTGTTGCTCCAAGTGTAAATGTTACAAGCTGCATGTTAGGCTCACATTTTGAAATTACTTTGTAATTCAGTACATCTTCTCTGTCTTACTTTGGTTTCAGGAAAAATACGTTCCACAAACAGAAGGGAAAACAAATTTTTCTTAATGTTGAAAAACTTGAGACTTATACTCACTTTCCAATTGCATTTGGCAGAATTGTAAGCTGATTGTCGTCTACTTTTAAAGTTGTCAGCCTTTTCAACAGTCCTACAAAACAGAAAAGAAGGGAGTAATAGAAAAATATCTTCACTTTCTCCAATATTCTTAAATAAGCAATGATGCCTAACACTAAATAATTTAGGTCTAGATTTTAGAAAAAATACAGTATACAAACACATTCTTGTCCCATTGAAAATATGTTTCATCAAAATGAAGCACAGATTAAATGTTGAACTGGATGGCAACAAGTAAAATATTAGGTATATTTCTGAAGTCTTGAAAAAAAATGAAAAGAAAAAAAATAGGAATAGTATCCTATCTGTCTAGGAAGTGCAGTATTTCTAGTTGTCTATGAATTATCATGAAGTCTCATAACAACCAAAAAAAAAAAAAAATTCCTCAACTATAAAAACATGAGCTGTGGAGTTCTCACCTATGGAGTCTGGCAGTTGCTGCAACATATTTGATGACAACAGGAGATCTTCAAGTCCTTCACATCCTGATATGTCCAAATCAACAGTTTCTATCCTGTTTTTTGACATATCCAGGTACACGAGCTGTTTTAACTTCCCTATAGACTTAATAGCATGTTACAAAGTGTTACTTGAACAGATAGAAACTGCTTGCCCACCTCTAAATTTAAAGACAAACAACTGTAATATGGATTTATATTTAGTTCTCACAACATGCTTTTTTATTTATTTCACCAAAGCAGCATCAGTAGTGGTCTAATAGCCTCATGGTTCAGGAAGCTGCAAAAACAAAGGTTTAACTATGGGACAGAGCTGAAAATTAGTTTCTCTGTGACTTTTCAAGAGATCAGGTGAAAATTCTAAGGCCTATTAAGATGCTATCCGTTGTGGTTAAACTAGCCTTTAATTCTGTAAGTCAGCTGTACCTAAGTGACACATGCCACACTAATTCATGTGTTCCAGGGGCATTAAATCTGCTGAAAGTTTGAGTTCTCCAAGTCATCCAGCTCTATTAATTCTTCACTTGGACACAGAGCCAAGAGACATTTACTCGCAATTCACGTCTACTTGTACCAGCAGGCCACTGGGGCTAGATATGCAGGCAATGCTTTTCTGTATCATACTGATTGTCTACATTTGATAAAATCTAAAATTAGACTTCAGATATTCATAGCTCAATTATAAGAGGTTAATCCCAGCAGTATACTTTGTGAATGCAGTGTTTAATTGCTGCTATAACATCGATGAGTAACATGACAGAAATTCTTCCCTAATTTCTTTGATAATCTGTTTATCATGCAAAAGTTTGAAGCTATAGAAGTAATTTGCTTCTTGATTCATTACCACAAGATGGTCACTTCATTCTAGACATGAAATTTCACCCAAAAAAAAATCAACAAAAGAAGGTGCTGTTGTTTTTCCTATACTGAAGCCTACAAGTGGAACAGCACAGAGATATCACTGCTGGGTTTACAGTGAATGAGCTGGATCTACAACCAAATGGCACAGATATGATTGCAAAGGAGGAGTGAGATAAGGCAGCACAATACCATTACTAGAAGTTGCCATCTGCTTGCAGTGCCTTGCATTCACATTAACACAAAGAATAATAAAAGGTTAATTAACACAAAGTGTTAATGTGAATTACTTGTTTTCCACAGAAAGTACAGACTTGCTACAAAGTAAAATGAGCAATATCAAAATTACATTTCAAAACATGTGAATGAACATTTATGGTCTATAAGAGAACTTTACAGCTTTGGGTAGACCATGGCAATTGCCTATGAAATTGTATGGATTCTACAAAAGTTTTTTTTTTTTTTTTTTTTAAGTTATTTACATATACTTTTAGTGGTTATCCACTGTACGTATGAAAAAGGCTAATAATTTTAGACAGCTTTATTTGTCAAACAATATGAATGTAGTTTGCTTTCATCTCTTACCTTGCTGATACCTGCTCTCTGCTTCTAAGTAGGCAGTTTCCTATTATCATTATTCAGATCTGAGTTGTAAAAAGGGAAAAATCTCCCTTTCAACCCAATCTTTGCCATTCTAACAGTTGAATATAATCTTTGTTTCTAGCACAGACTACTTTTTTTTTAAACCAAATTATCAACACTGGAAACCTGACAAATCTCTAAATCTTCAAATCAATTACCAGTTAGTAATTCCTTTCTAATTCCAGAAGTCAAAATTTAAGGCTAGTATTAACTATTTTAAACAGCCTGTCTTGGAGAATGTTTTCATAAAACATTGTTCTTACTAGAATCAGATTTAGTAGAGACAAATTATTCCCTGAAGATAATTAAGTTTCTTGGGACTCAGTTCCAAGATCTACAGAACACCTTCAGCTCTGAACACCCTCTCTAGGGTTTATGATAGCTCAGCAGGACTGTGTCTGGAACACATTTTAGCACTGGATATATTAACCAATTTCGTTGTCATCAGAAAAGAAATAGAATAATGGTTAAAATACTTATGCCCACATCCTCTTGTATAGGTGACTTCTTCTACTCAGTTACGCTGCAGTAATAATACTGTAACATGTCTGTTTTTGATCTCCAGTTGGTATCAGAATCAACAAATGGTTTCAAAATTAGCCCTTTTTAAATCTTATTTTATTTTTTTCCACTAACAAAGTTTTCCAAAAGTGGACATATGTACAGTGACTGAAAATGACCATTTTCTGTGGAGACATCCTGCTTAACACAAAATGAAAAATGATCCTAAATTATTTTAGATTAAAAAGAGTCCTTGTTCAATGAAGAAAATTGAATTTTGATTAATAAATGTTCAAAGCTGAAAGAGGACATACCACTTCTCCTTACAACACCTAAACGTTTTTATGCTAGATCTATTTCTAAAAGTTCCCTGCACAGTGGAGCATCATTATGTGAAACATAAGATCTGCTACCTGTGTGGAAAAAGGTTAATGACTGGGATCTCTTTCCCCAGTCATTGTTTATTAGTATCAAATTATTTATGTCAATAAATACTGAAAAAAAATAAATATCCAAGTTCTATCATGGGGTAGCAAGAACTCAGAAACAGCACTAATACAGATCCATGACCCCAATGGCTAGATTTTTAAATAGCTATTGTTCTTTTTCTAAATGGAATGCTTTTAGAGTTCTATCTTCATCCCACTGTCTCAGTCACTTCTAGTATAGTTAAACATGTACATACTTCATGTTTTCTTTAATTTTATTTAGATTACTTAATATTTCCTCTTCCTTCTTAAAAGTCAAGTAGGGTTTTATAAAACTGCTAGTTAATGTATGGTGTCTGAGAAGACAACAGTAAACAATCTCCCTTCACAATGAAAACTACACGAGGCTTAAATAAAACAGGCACATTCCCATTTAGACACTATCACGCAATAACACAACATTTAAAAGGTCTTCATATTTATGTCTGCTTTTAGGGTATGGCTACTATATTATTTTTTGATAATAACTAATTCACTTTAATTAACTAACTTTAACTAGGAATATGCACCCATTCAAGAAATGCACATACATTCATTTACTGCAGGGTAAATAGTTAATTATTAGCTTAACAGATTTGATTACATGAAATAAAATTTCATACCCCAGGTAGTATTTGCAAGGAATTATTGTCCATCCACAATTCCTTTAGATTTTGTATTTGTTCGAGAACCTCAGGCTGAGGAAAAGAATAGATAGTATTATGGACAGTTACATAAACCTGTTGGTTATTTTTAGTTAAATAAATCAGTATTTTCTTACAGAAAGATTCCCTCCATTTTCTTTTTTTTTTCTTTTTTTTTTTTTTTAAACACCCATCACACTCTCAGATAGATAATGAAACAAACAGTATATTAAATGAACTGACTTTACATGTTATTGCTCTTTTTAAAAACTTGTAAGAAGAAATGTAAGAAACCTTTGGAAATGAAATAAATACAAAGAACTTAGAAGCTCTTGTTCTAAGTAGTTTATTGGCAGTATGCAATTTATGAACAAAGCAAATAAGCGAAGTGAAAAATGTGGAGTTTTAGAAACAATCTGCTGAGAAGAAAGACCAAATCTCATCTTGCAGCACATGTTAAACTCTGCCTTTTACATAATTTATGGTCTCAAAAATAGCTTAACAAAGGCTGATTCCTGAACGCTTTCCTGAATATACCACATTTATGAACTATTTAATGTCTGTAATTGTCATATTCAGTAGTTAAAACAGCAGCATACAACGATCAAACCTTAAAATTACAGTAATATTAAGCTTTAATCGGATGTTCTATTTTTTTTCAACATTATAGATGTCAGTGAGAGAAACAGAAAAGGGCAATTCCCCCAAATCATTTCTCATTCATTACAGCTGTGAAAATCAAGAATTATCAGGTCACCAACATTTCCTTGTTTCAGCCTAACCAGTATTTTTCTTTTTGATGAAACACAATTTTCACAGGTAAAACAAGACTTTCAATTTGCCTTAACTCTGTAAAGTTAGAGTTTTTTTCAAAGTCTGCCAGAAACTGATAAAATACTTGATTCAGAATGAACCAGATTCTAGCATGTGAAAAGCCTGTAGTACTATTTCACCAGAATTATTAAACATAGCTAGAAAAAATGTATCTGTCTAACACCCTAGGACCTCATACTGACCTCATACTGTTTCTGAGACGTGTCAGTTCCTACAGACATTGCAGACATTGTAAAAACTTCCCTGAAGGGAACAGCAACTTGATTATTTTCTATACTAAGAACGGGGAAAATTCCTGAAAGCCATTCTATCCCAGGGAACCTGAGTTACCTCTTAGAGTTTAGTTAGGGACAGAAACTGCTTTTGGTGCAAAAAAAAAAATAAAAAAAATAAAAAAATAAAAATTACTTCTGCTAAAAGTAATTTCTAATATATTTGGGATTTAATGCTAGATTTTAAGGATATGTAATTAACATGGGTATTTACAGTAAGATCACCAATTCATCTCACACTGAAGTAGTCCAACAGTAGCAACCAGCTGAGAATGAGAATTGCTTTGATCTGAGCTGCAGAAGCTTGATGCAGATGTAGTGTACTGCTTTATCAATGCTGACCTCATGGAAGACAACAAATCTATTTTACAGGTAAATGTGACCATAACGTGTGGCCATAATACCGTAATGCCTTTCAAGTAAAAATTTAATCTCCCAAGCACAGAGCATCCAAACCACACTGGCATGCTACTAAAAAAAGGCATTTCTTACCAGCTCAGAGAATTCATTATTGCCCAGATCAAGTCTCTCCAGTTGAGTCAGTTTATGCATTGACCTGTAACAGATTAGGAAATTTCTAAGATGAAATTTTTCCTTGGGAGCAGTCAGTCAAATTTTACTTAGGGAAGAAAAAAGCTCAGATGATATTGTTGTTGTAAGAAGAGTTACATCAGCTGGACATTATTGCAGATGAGAACAATGCACTTTAGCTTTCTGACATTAGCTAAAGTTCTAGAACTGCTAAGAGAGCAACAAATATTTTAATATAAAAATGAACATACAATCTTGCTATAATTTTGCATAATTGCTCAAGGAAAATGACTCACTTATAAGCAATTGAAAATAATATAAATCATGACATCTACATTTGTAAATTTATGATCAACTTCTTTATAAACTACTAAAAAGTATTTATTCTCTTTACAGCAAAAGTACAAAGGATGCCTGTTATGTCCCTGAAACTGCATCTAACTTCAGCCATGATACGAAAACATTTTTGTGACAAGGAGAAGCACAAAGCTGCACGCTGCACAGCTGGAGCTGAGCTGAGGCTGTTTGGGGTCCTTGTGTTGGTTTAACAGACTGCCCTGAGCCCATGGGGTCCTCTCCTCTTGGGGCTGCTGTATGGGTGACCTGAAACAGGGCTTCTGTTTTGGTCATGAGGAAACTAACTCACACCAACAAGCAACGGTACTCGGTGGCATTTAGTGACACTCACTGTCTTCCAGTAGCTTAGGAAAAAAATAGTGGATGAAAAACAGAAAAGAGTTTTCTAATTAAACAATCAGATTGAGATTCAAGCCTCTAACATGCTGCAAGGCACACCTAGGCAAGGATTTCTCTGTGCAGTCCGTGGCTGTGCTGCATGGTGCTGCATGGGACCCCACCGGGGCGAGACAGGCTCCACGCAGCCACGGCTGCAAAAGCCAGGGTGACAGCAACATCAACCAAAGCAGCTTATCCTCTTCACAGCATTAGGAAGGAGAGACAAGTAAGAATGCATCGTGTGAAACTGAACCAAAAGTAAGTAGCAAATATGCACGATAAACCCAAAAGGGCTTTAAATGACGAATAATCGGGATTTATGTCTGCAGCTGATCACCACGTAACAGCCACAAAGGCACTTTCATTGTCTGGGCTCAGGTGAGTCAAACAGTGAAATAAGAGGAAAAATGAAAAATGACTAAAAACGACTTGATGAAATTCCTGATTTATTGAACTAAATGGAATAAATCTCCCAAGTTTACCTCCGGATTTGTGCTGTGAGGAAAAAAAGGTTATTTCTAGTATAGCTTAGACCTATAAAGGCACATGTCACACCATATCTGGACTGACTCTGAAAAGTATTTAATGTACCAGTTTTGAATATAGGTAAGCTTTTAAAAATACACGGAACTTTTAAAAACTATACTGAGAATGTGTCATGGGCACTGACTCAAAGAAGTAATCCCAAAGCAGCAAAGATATTTTCAAAATGGAAGGAAAATTGCTGAGCAACTTCTTAACACGAGCTGAAGGACTGAACATGCCAGAAGGGTGGCAGTACGGTGATTTCTTCCATTGGAGTGGATGTTCTGCTGTAGTGTAACGTACAACTTTGCTCCTACTGGACCAAAAAAAAAAAAAAAGATTCTTCTAAGGCTGATTTATACGCTGATAGATATGAACTATTGCTACCTCACACCTTCCCAAACTGTGAGAATCTCATAGTTTTATGAAATTAAGATTAGGACGTTGCATTCAACATTACTATGACATTAGAGAGTAAGAGCAGTGTCCTCATTTGAATATATTGATCTTCATGGTTTACGATGGTTGACTTTTAAAGTAAGTAAATGATTTCAAATAGTGCACTCAATGCTTTATATTTAAAGAGGTTATTAAATTTAAACCAAATAGCTTTATAAATATTACACGCAGATTTTATTCATTTTGAAAATAAAATGGAATAATGAGATCATATTCCTCCAGGCCTGCTAATGAAAATTCTGCACTAAACAAGGCATTTCAGGCATTAAGTCTTCCAGGGCCGCATGAGCTGCTGCTGTGCAAGTGGTGCAAGATGCCAGGGAGTGCCCTCGGGTGCTGGCTCACAGCTTCCCTTCTGCTGCCTCAGCACAAGTGCTTCCTCACCCAGCTTTGGCTCCTATGAGTTAGCTCTAACCAAGCAATTCCTGGACATATCTGGGAGACAGCCTGGCCAGGACCCCTTCCAAAAGCAGGCAATGTGGCTGCCCTGTTCTGGAAAATGTTCAAATTTAATAAATTAATTACTGCCTCTATTTCCATGAACAAAACTGGGACAGGATAGTATCACTGCTGTAGGACTTCTCTTTAAGCCCTACCATTTTTCAATAGTAGAGTGAAGTATTTTCTGCTAGACATATATTATTAAAATGAAAAAGTAGGTAGATAAATATTTAGCCCTCAAGTTTAAGTTATATATTTTATTAGATTTCTTTAATTAAACAGACTCTTTGACCTACTGCATTTCTCCATCTTTCATATTAACTTCAATGAATGAATGGTAGGGTCATAACTTAAGATCAAGTGCCACATGCGCTTCTGTACTTTATAGAAATTAATGATCTGCAAAGAAAAGTTGTTAGAAGACATCTAGGACTCAGGCAAATCGCTCACTGCTGCACCAGTCAAGTAATTCCTTTGGACAGGAGCTCCTGTATCTAGGTCTTAATTGTTCATGTAACATAATTTCCAGTATTTTCAAACACAGAAAATTTAAGCAACATAATGTATAAAAGCCAGTACATTTACACAATGGTTTGGGGAAATGCAATGCCAAATCCTTTGCAGGTGATGTCATCAGTACTGTGAAACTACTGGTAATATTACTGCAGGTCACACTCCTATGTTATTGATTTCTTCAGTGCTTTCTTTGTTCTTTTCTAAAATGTTCTTATATGTGTTTATTACTGGTGTTTTTTTTTTTTTTTTTTTTTTTTTTTTGGTCCAGTTCTGCACAATCTCTGCTTCTTGCCAAGTCTTTGAGACTCAGCAACTAGCTTATTTCTGCTGATCACACAGTGTTTTGGAAATACCTCAAAACAGCCAGAGATTACTTTCAAAATCTTTCATGCTGAAGTCACCCTAGTGCAGATTAATTCACGATAACATCTTTTTAATGTCTTCTGATAGTTCATTTATTTAGTACTCACTCGAGCTCACTGTTCTAGGTAGTTTCTTTATATTTTTCTTCTTCCTGTCCCACATCTTCCATCTATCTGACCAATAATCACAGATATCTTTGAGACAGGAAAGCAAGAGAGACCTTTTGTTTTTGTTTGCTAGAATGAGAGGTAGTTGCCTGCACAGTTCTGAAGGGGTTAGCACCTAAATTGAATGGAAAAGTTACAGCAATTTTTTGACTACAAGGTGCAAAACAAGATGGTGTAGTTTAAGCCTGAAGCATGGAGTGGTTAAAGCTGACATTGTTCCAAAACAATACTTATCAACAGAACTATGACTAATCAAGACTGAGCACACAGATTATTAAACAGAAATGACTTTTTATATACTCTGAACTGAGTCCCCTTTTAAGTTAGTAATATAACTCTTGATTCATGCTCCCCAATTCCCAATCTGCTTCTTACTGCCTTTTTGCACTTTAAGTATTTATGACTTTGAATTATTATTGTTATAAAGCCAGACAGAATAATGAAAATATTTTATCTTTCAACAGTAACTGTTCAACATGTTGAAGTATCTGGAAGACAAGAAGCCATTCACGAAGCAATAAGCACTGCACTGGCACAACAGATGAGGACACTAAAGATAATGATGTCACCTGGACAATGTGAATATTTTTCACTCCTTTCCCCAGAAAATTCTGTTTTATATTATGCTCTCCATTAAAATTCTAGCAAAAATATGTTTTAACTCCTCTGGTCCTCCAACTGCACCATGATTCTCTTTGGAAATATCTTGCAAGACCAAGAGAAATTTTACAAAGCCAGACAAAAGCTAATTTTTTAAAACAAAGCTGCAACATACTCATCAGCTCATTTACACTCCCTTTCTCTTAAATAACACATAAATCCCAGAAAATGTTTACATTTGGTCTAACTTGCTCCTTCTAAAACTTTCACCACTGTGTCTTAATTGATTTAATATTAGCCTAGTTTAGACTTCTGGCACTTAGATACAAGTTGTAAATTTCTATATAAATTTTTAGATTAAGTCAAGTTAATGGAAAAAGTAATTACACTGGTAATTGCAAACACTTGATGACTAAGGACAGTCTTATTACCATAAAGAATCTCATTAACTTTATGAGGATTCTTTACACTAATGTGTGCAACCCCTGGCAGTATGTGCTTACAAGACTGGACTCAGCTTATGAAAAATGATTACAATTACTCAACTACAATTTACCAGTTGCCGTTTTGGAAATCAAAGTATTTCTGCCTGAAACAAATCAATCTGACCCTTCTGAAGGCCAGCCACTTGTTCAGCAGTCAGGTAGTACCCACACTTTCAGCCTGAATGATTGGGTTGTGAAAAACAGTTAAATATTACAAATCTTGACTGCAGGTTTCACTCCTAAGTACCATACAAAGGGTTTATACCCTAGGAAACATCTCAGCATGTCAAGTGAGCATTGCAAGTTTATTGTTATTTACACTTGCAGACATTAGAAGTTTTCCAGTTACAGCATTCGCTGCATGCACATTCACAAGTACCACTTAGTACAGCTAAAATGAGGAAACGCGACATATGTTTACAGCAGACAGTTCTAGTGAAAACTTTTCTCTCAAAGGCAGTATTACTTGTGGCTTTACCGTTCTGCATTAAAGTTAATAAAAGCTTCTAGTGATTATGTTTCCCCATGCCCATGTTAACAATATGCTCCAAGAATAATCAGCCACAAGGCTGCAATTACCTGCTAACTGGAACTGGAAGCTGAACAGCAGCTTTTCTCTGGTATTTACATATATAATTACTGTTTATACACGCATGGAATTATGTGTCTTGAAATGTAAAACTCTGAAATTCATCAACAATGAAACGAAGGGTAATTTTAAATTACAAACAGGT